TGGTCGTGGTGGCGGTGGGGGTGCCGCGGACATGTGCCGGCCCAGAGCGGGTCCCACGCGTGGCGGTGGCTCCCCGGGTGACGCTCCGGCTCTGCAGGGCTGGAGACCTTCGTGTCCGTGGCCAAGACGCTGCCGTCGGCCGAGGTGTACGATGTCGTGGAGGGGTACGTGAAAATCTCCATGGAGTGCGCTGAGATATTCAAGCTTCTGGACGGGGAAAGGAGACCTGAAAGCGAAGTAAGCTGGGCGGGGGGGTGTTGCAGTTTAGTGGCTGGCAGCTGCGTCCCAACCTGGGGAGGAACCAAGGGAAGGTCCCCCGGGCAGTGGTCACGGCCCCAAACCTGCCCTGAGATCGAGGAGCGTTTGGACAACGCTCTCAGGAGACAGAGTGGGATTGTTGAGGTGTCCTGTGCAGGGGTTAGACTGGATGATCCTTGTGGGTCTTTTCAAGCTCAGGATATTCTGTGGTTCTGTGGATAAATGCTTTGTGGTGTTAATAAAGCCCTTATAGTTTAGTATGGTTTTGGTTTGGCTTTTTTCTGGAAGTCACGGTGGCAGAAGCACTTATCAAGTGGGAAATACCGTTTTCGGTTCCAAGATGTTCCTGGATTTAATGATATGCACAACCAAATAGTCTTGTCCAAATCAAGCTGTTAAGGTTCTTTAAACGTTATCAAAAGACCTTTTGTGAAATAAGGGGATCAATAGAAGCAGTTAAGAAAGCATAACAAAAGTAGTCCAGTGAAAGTAATTGTTTTCAGACGTCTAGACATCTCCCTGATACATCAGTGTTTCTAGGAAGCCACTGGTAAAGTTGACCTCATTTTTCTCCTCTCAGCTGGACACAATTTTTCCTCATCAGAATATGGCAAATTAACAAAGAATCAAATAACTCTCTTTACTGTGAATGCTGGGGCAGCATTGCTAACTTAAATCTGTTTACAACATAGAGTTGGTGTTCTTTTTAACCATCATTTGTCAATCTTTGCCTTAAATTATTATTTTTGTCTGTGTAATGACAACCTGTGTCATGTTCAGTGACACACTTTCCTCAAGATCCTTTTACTAATCAGGGCTAATGTATGTAGTCAGCACAGTCACAATGCTGTGTGGACTCTGGATTCTTCTAGAAGGAGTTAGTTGCAAGACTGGAGCAGCTCAGATGGTTTTCTCCAGCATGTTTCATAGTTCTGTTGTGCACTTCCTGGCAGTTGTCTCTTAAAACATTGGTTCCTCGAAGCTTTGTGTTCTCAGAACTAATCTTTTCAGAGAGGAATTCTAAATTTGGAAGAGAATTCAGAAGTTAATGTCAGCTTCATATGTGGAAGCTTTCCTCATGCAGTGGAATTACTCTTTTTATTAGTGGTGGTTATTAATGTTTGCTCAGATAATAATTTCAAGTCATACCTGATATTGGCAGATATTAACATACTTCTTTATCGTGCAGATGCTGTTAATCTTTCAAGCTCTGGAAGCCATTTTACTGAGGACAGCCAGTGACCTCTCCCATTTTTCTGTTGTGGGAATGAACATTGTCAAAAAGTTGATTCATTCGTACATGAAACTGGTCTATGCTGCTTTGTATTCCGAAAATCACAGGTAAGTCTTCTCGGTGCTGTTGTGGAGAATCTCTGTTTGTTGACCCTGAGGGACTGTCTGGATCTTGCACATATGTACAAGATGTTGCAAAATTCAGCTTGACTTACTGCTAATCACCCACCTTTGTTTAATGATCCTGTTCCACATGTCATAAAGTAATTGCCTGTGGAAGTCTTTGCAAGGTGGAAGCTCTGATACAACAAACAGTCTGATGCTATAGGATACTTCCCTGAGGCTAAAGTTTTCATTGGTTGGGCCTGTCCTAGTGAAAGCTGAAGCAGGTAGACATGGCCATCCTGAGTCCTTTTGTTTTAATGCTACTTGGTTTGTGGGGTGAAACATCCTAAGGGGAGCAGGCTTTCTTGTGGTTCACAGAGGCTGAACAGTCTGTCTTGTGATGGCAAAAAGAGTTGCTAATGAGTGGTTTATTTTCCTATGTTTTTGGAGTTAGATTTCCATGTTTATAATAGAATTTTTTTTCTTTCAGACTGGCTTTTGCTCTGTAACATTTCCTATCTGTTAAATCTGAAGTCATCTTAGGTCATTTGAAGTATTCCTGTGTTATCTCTTCCAGTCTAAACAACAATTTCTCATGCCCAGTGGACAGGGCAGAAAAAGTTCTGAGTGTCAGAGATGTTTTAATACAAACCTGGGAGGAAGGGGAAGGGAGAGAAAAAAGTAGAGACTGCAAGTGGCTTGTCCAAGGCCAAGGACTTATCTTTTGGTCTTTGGGCAGGCCAGAATTGGAAAAGCATTCTCTGATTTTCAATTCACAGACACAGCTTCCTGCACTGCTCATTTGATCTCATTGCAGTGTTTTAGCTGTACATAGAACCTGAAATATGGGTGAATAGGTATACTGTAAATTTTGAAGCTATGCAAGATCTACTCTTCTCATTAAGCATTTAAAGGTTCCAGCTTCTGGAACAATCCTAGAACCTGCACAGAGGAGGGTGCAGATTTCTGAATGGTATATGCTCTGAATTTTCTGTGCTACCTCTTTGATGTGCAGATTGATTTAATCTTTTGTGGTGGTATGTCTAGATGGGATCTCTATTTTAGTCGTTTGGCTTTTCTACTGATTGTCCATGACAGGAAAATGATGGACAGATTCCAAACCCCTTTGTGGGCTGTGGCTGTTCAAGTAATGGAGGTCTGCAGGCTTGTACCCAGTGGCCTAGTCATTCCCACTGAAATAAATTGCAAACTCCTGTGAGTTTGGGAGTTCATAGAAAAGTTTGGTTTAGAAGGGACCTTTAAGGGTCATCTAGTCCAACTCCTCTGCAATGAGCACGGACATCTTCAAGTTTTTAATTTTGGTACTTTCTTCCTTTTAACCTACTTTGTAGAGGGAATATCCACCTCAGATTATAGCTTAATTTTTGGAAAGAGTGTAAATAGGCATTCCCTTCTTCCTTCTTTCCTCTCCCCTCCTTCCTGGTTGCCATTATCACCGCCCAAAAAAATTATTTTGGTTGGTTTAACTTCTCTTCTGTTTTAATCTCTTGATTTCATCATCCTGGAAATAACCTGCAGATTTTCCTCTGCATTTTTTTTTAGGCTGAGCCGAGGGTGCCTCACGCTGCTGTCGGCAATGGTGGCCCAGGGCCCGGATTCAGCAAGGGATGTGTATAGCCATTTTGATTTCAATAACAAATATCTGCCTGGACTGCTGAAAAAAAGATCTAATAAGGTAAATTAAGATGCTGTGTGCCATAGGATAATGTGTATACTAGCACAGAGGAACTGCTTTTGAAAATATAGGCAAGAGTTTTAAATAATCTCTTGCTGGAAATCCTTAAGGAGAATATGCAAGTGAGTAGAAAAAGTTACTCTTCTTTTTTCAGAGGAAACTATTTCTTGTTTCCTCTCCATTTGCTAAAAATAGTCAGGATTGACCCAAACCAGTGTTTTAGAAGAAGAACATTTATGTGTCATTCCAAATATAAGTCTATAATAAATCCAGTATTATTTTCTGGATATTAAGGTGACTTCTAGAGTGAATGTGTACATGTGTGTTCAGTTTTTGTGCCATCTGTGGTGACAAATCAGAGTGTTTTTATATAAGCAATCAAGTAGAAAGGAAAAAAAACCAAACACATCTCTTTTTCCTGCAACCACCTTTTATAATTTTGGGACTATGAGATTCCATGGTTTTTGACCTTACTGCAGAAGTTATCTGCAGGAGTACCTCCACACCTTACTTTTAAATGCTTGGGTTTGGTCTTTTGAGCACAAGCTTATTAGATATGCAAGTAATGTACGAGGGAAAAAGTGTCCAAAACCAGATTAAAGGTCTTAACTTGTGCATGGCCTTCTGTGAAATTATGTCACAACTGGCTGTTGGAGGTGAGTTTTTTTACTATAAAAATATCAGACCCAAACCTTACAGCAAAATCTTATTTCTTTCACTCTTCATCATTCACTCATTTCTTCTTTCAACCCTTTCATGAGTCCCTGCCACATTATGTTTTGCCTGCTCAGTACCTTCTTTCAGACAATTTTACATGCAACTTAATTTTGCACGTTAAGTTTAGAAAAATGATAAATCAGGGAGAGACTCTATCATGGAATGTAGTGATAGGATGACAGGTAACTATTTTTAATTGAAAGAGAGTAGGTTTAAATTAGATATTAGGGAGGAATCCTTTCCTGTGAGAATTGTGAAGCCCTGGTTGCCCAGAGAAGCTGTGGCTGCCCCATCCCTGGAAGTTTTCAAGGCCAAGTTGGACAGGGCTTGGAGCAATGTGGTCTAGTGGAAGGTCTCCCCGCCTGTGGCAGGGGGTGGAATGAGAGGATCTCTGAGTTCCTTGCCAACCCAAACCCTTCAGGTACTCTATGTTTGTATGCTTTTACAGACAAAGGCTTCCCCTGTGCCTGAATTTGTAGTTTTATAACATATCAGCCCCTTAAGGGCGTTTTGAGAACTGACCGAGCAGTGCAGAAGTGAGGGTGCTCAGTGATGCAGTGTGTGCAAGGTTTGGCATGAAACTGCTGTTCATATATGATTTTTCTATTAATTTATGGCCTGTCTTACATATTGAGAATTGAAAAGTCCATGAAGTAGTACACTTTTCCTTCTTATGTTAAAGCGATCTGCTAATGCAAGAAGCTTTCTAGCTAAATATACTGTGGATATATTGCAAATAAATGTATGTGTATGGCTATTATGTTTATAATTGTTGAATTTATGTGTTTATAGTGCTTCTCAGGATAATCAACAGTTGCATTATTTAGTTTTGTAGTTAAGTACAATCTCTGTGCTGAGAGTATCTTGTATTTCTAGGGGAGAATTGACGTCCGCATGGCCTATATTCAGTTTGCTCTCTCCTTTTTAATTGCTGGTGACAATGCAGTCTTGACACAGGTGCTGGAATTAAAAGGTACTTTGTAATTGCTTATTGTTTTTGTTTTTAAGACAGAGTCTTTTATAGGGGATAATAGATGTGATTTAATAAAAAATGTGAACCACTTAGCACTAATAACGTGAAAAATATATATTTTTAATCTTACTACCTCAAAAACTTTAAACTTCTTTGGTATTCTAATGAGTGCCTCTTCTGCTTGAGAACAATATGCTGTCTGCTAAAACTTTACAAAAATAGAAAGTCTGTGGTGACACAGATGAAAAAGTAAATGTTTTGAGGTCATGGAGTCAATAAGCAGAAAAAAGCTTCATGGCCTGCAGCCTTGCTCATAAGACAGTAACAGTGGATATGTTACATTAAAATTTTTTTAAATAGTGTTAAAGACTGTGTGTACTTCAGTTTCCTTTCTCATGTGAATTGTGACCCTAGGTAAGGTTATGAAAGAATTCAGTAGGGGTCTAAAAATACTGTTAATAAAAATGTCATTAAGTCGTTACTGGCAGAAGTTCATTTCTCCTACTTGAGAGATTGAGAACTGGTCATAATTATTTATTTCTCTTGTTCCTGCTACCCTGACAGTTGTTCATTCTTTCAGGCCAGGGAATGGCAGTGCATACCTAGACCCAGTCAGCACAGCTGGCTTTCCTTCCCCTACCAGAGCCTCAAGTTCTCTAGGAACTGAAGGTGTCTAACTTTGGGATGCACAGGGCAGCCAAAGGATGATGCATGTGGTTGGAGATGGAACCTCGAAATGTTTGAGAATCACTCAGGAAAACAATTGCAAGTCAAGTAAATAGCAGTTTACACAAATTTAAATACTGCAAAGCACTTTGGGACCGAAAATATATTTGAAGTTGACAGATGCTGTAGCAAGAAGTGTTAATCAGCAAGTTGGCAAATTAGCTAGTTAGGATGAGAGTAGGTTTGGCAGCATCCTTTGCTCATCACTATAGGTATGGGCACATCATCCTCCTGAACTCTGCTTGCAGCCTTTTGGTTCATCCTGAAATATAACTGCAAGGTAAATAATATGACATTGAAGAGAAATGAATATGAATTCCCTGAAGCATTTTTTATGAAAAGAGTTCTCACATTTTAACCTAATATTTGAAATGTCTTCTTAGATTTCATTCCAGGTATTTTTCGCTCTGAAGTAAAGGAAGACAGAGTTTCTACTGTAAATCTTCTACTCTCCACACTGAGAACTAAGGTATGATATACCCTCAAAATTGTGTTGTCTCATGTTTTCTGTTTTCTTTGCTGCTGGAAACAGTTCTGCAATGATTTCTCACAAAATGTTCAGCTCTTTATTAAGATGTCATTGTTCTGCAGCTACAAGTTCGTAAGTGTGTCTGTTACTGATCATATTTGTTGGAGGTTGGTAGCGTGGCCATATTGCTGTTTTGGGACTGAAGCTTGTTCTGCTTTTCCAATGCCTTCTTTTAAAGGAAGTCATTGCAATAGCTTATGCTTGGATGCTAATTTCAGCTCATCTTCAGTGTGTGGTGCCCAGCAGATTCTTGTGGTTTTGTGGGTTGCAGCTGCCAGTAAGACTGGTCCTTCAGTTAATGTGTTTCCTGCCAAAATCGGGAGGTCAGCTAGACCTGAGTGGGTTTTTTAGCTCTAAGCTAGGTAATGATGTACACTTGTTTTTTCAGGAGAAAAAGCATTTTGTGTGCTGTCAGTACAAGGGCTGGGGCATGAAGGGGTGTCCAGGAGCTGTCTGGTTGCAGTTGAAGGGTGTGTGGTACCGTTCCCCTGCCAGCCTTGCAGGGCTCTGTTGGAGCCACATCCTGTGGTCCTGGTTAGGTGGTCTTTGGACTTGCTTACTGCTGGGATGACAGGAGATAAGTTTGGTCAAAGGTGTTTCTTTGTGGAGTAGAGGAAAAGGGAAGTCTTGTAATCAGAGAATTTGTTGTGAAAAAGAGAGGGTACATTCCACCTGCTGCCAGAAAGTACTGCTGGAAAGGTAAATGCTTCCCTTTGACGGTGTTTTTTTTGATTCTTTCATGGCAGACAGAAATTCCTTTGTGCTATAACAAGGTTGAGACAGAAAACTGGAAAGCAGGTATTGCTGAAAGGTGTGAGAGTTGGGTTAGTCGTGGCTGCCTTTCCTGTGCTTTGTCACTTACCTTCTGAGCATGGTCCTGCCTCTTCCCTGTGAGGCACCAGCTTGTTGCTGCTGTAGGAATGGCAACTGCACCTGAAATGTATTTTATTTCTATAAAAATGTTTTTAGAAATGTTTTTAGTTCCAGTATCTATGATTTTTGAATCTCAGTTTTGAACTACTGTAGCAATGTTGCACAAGCTATTGTATGGCCAACTGAGAAAATGAAGGAAAAATAGTTTCAAATTTAGAGTGTAACCATAAGAACCTGCCTCATACTCAGGTTTTCACAACTGGCAAATTAAAGAGAAAAATGTTCTTTCATTTTGCTATTGCAATAACAGGGGAAAAAAGGGAGAATAAAAAAGCTACCATTTAAATGTAAAATAAACCTCCTTGCAGCTTTGTTTTCTAAGTGAAGCTTTTCCTGTGTGGGAATCATACATCATGTGCTGTTACATTATTGGTGAGCCCCAACACACTATATGACTCCTTCAGTTGAGCAAGGAAAATGAGAATTAAAACACTGCCAAGAATAAAACGCAGCAGAAGAACTTTTGGGAACTTCCTCCACTGTGTTTTTTCTTTCATTCAAACTTTATTTGTAGCAGGCTTTACCATCTCTACCAACACGTTTGGATGATATTAGTCTGTGGGTGTAGTATTCTAAAGGTGTTCTGTGCTTGTTAGTTGAACTTGAAAGTCTGTTCTGTCTGGCATGTGCAGGGTTTGCAGAGGCTGGTGTAGAGTCAAGGTGGAATAGGAGTGTGAGAGAAGTGTTGACAGAATTAGAAGCAAAACCAGAACCTTTTGTCAGCTCTAGTGAGGAGAGCCAACTGCGTGTGTATTAGAAGAATGAAGCCTGTTGCTAGTTTACCATTACTTTGTGATAACTTGCGAAAAAATAGAAGAGTTGTTAAGTTTTTCTCATCATTTTCAGGTCGTTCAAAATAAAAATATCACCAAAACCCAGAAGGTTCGCTTTTTTACTGCAGAAGTGCTGATCCACATTGCTTCTCTCTACCGGTGGAATGGGATTACTGATGTCAGCCCTGGGGATTTAGAGGTCTGGTCATTTATTTCTTTGTTACTCTTAGTCTTTGTGCTGCCTTTTGTTTTTCCCCCTTCCTGCAGGCCACAGGTTTTGAAACAGCTCCCAGTTGCTCTGAACCTTGATGAAGGTTGATGATGGCAACTCAAGAAGAGGGATCTACTGAGGCTACTGAAAAAGAAACCCCAAATTTCTTTTGCTTTTCACTGCTTGAGGAGGAGGGTTTGTTTCCCTTCCTTGACTGCCAGGACTGTAGTGCAGATCTGTTACCCTGGGAGAAATGGGTTTCTTGGGTAGAAGGACTGCATTCCTTTTCCTGGACACAGCTGGGTCTCTGTAGGAGAATACATCGGGATCAGTGTTCTTTCCACAGGCCTCATTCCCGTTGTACACACTGCCCTGATATGAGAGTTAAACTTCTGGAATTGTTGCCAACCAGACTTACAGACTTCCACTGGGTTTTGTCTTCTGATTTTTCACCTTTGTGTCTGCCCTCTTATATTACCAGATGTTTATGCCATTCCAGTATTGATATCCAGTAAACCCCTTTTGGAGGAGATCTGTTTCTAGTAGGTATCTGCTTGGAGCTGTGCAAATCTCTGACCCCATTCATAAGCCTGCATTTCAGTTTTGAAATAATTTTAAGTTCTTACAATTCCATGCAGTCTTTGTAAGTCATATGGTTTGGGATTTCCCAGCCACAGTTGTCAAGAGTCTTCTTATTCATAGGGATCTTCAGTTGTGCTGGATGTAGAAGATGAATGTAATCACAGAATGGTTTGGTTTGGAAGGGACCTTCAAGTCCTGAAGTTTCTCTTCTTAATCTGAACAAAACCAAAACTGTCTTTTAGGATTTCTGTAAAAGGAACTTCATAAAACGTAGAATGAAACTGATGGAAGATTTTCTGCTGTTATACCAAATCCTATATGCCTTTTTTACTCCTTTTTGGTTTTTGTAGGTGACTCAAGGTTCTGAAGAGGTGGGAAAAACGATGGTACGGGAACTCGTGCATAATTTTTTAATGGACCTCTGCTGCTCTCTGAAACATGGCATAACGTTCTATGATCCAAGTCTTGGAACTTCTGGCAAGTAAGTCACTGGACAAGCTGGGATTGTACATGGATTTTGTGCTAGGAACAAGAGAGACCTCACTAGTTACCATATCTGCTCTGAAATGTCTGGTATTAATTCAAAGTAATTACCATTTGTCATGCAGAAAACACAGAAGTAAATTCAGTTCTTACTTCTCTGAGTATAAATTTGGAAATTATACCAGGAGTGTGAGAGGTCTTGCTGTCAATTAACAGTTAGAGGAGCTGCAGAGTTCACATCCTATAGGAAGTGTTAAAATAAGGGTTTCTTATTTAAACTTTTTTTTTTCTTCAATAGGGGAGGAAATGTGGTACTTCTGCACTTTCTGCTTGGTTTAAAAACTGCAACAGAAGATGACATGGTTGCTGATCTCATGGTGAATGTTCTCAAAGTATGCCCTGATTTATTGAATAGATACTTCAAGGAGACCCAGTATTCCTTTGTTCCTAGAATGAAGTCTGCTTGGATGGACAATATGAAGTTGCTCAAGAAGGTAGGACTGTGGAGGATGGTAAAAAGCCATGCTCAGAGCAGGAAGCTGTATAAACATTCAAGTAAATTGGGAAAGAAGGAATTGGTATAAGAAGCAGTGGGAAACATCACATCAATGACACTTTTTTTGAGATGCATCATTAAGGCTCAGCTGGAAAAACCTTCAGTCCTGCCTGGGTGTTCCCCTCACTCTTTGTTTAGCTTAAAATGGCCAAGCAGGACCTGGGATCTGTTTGTTGAAAAGTGGTGGCCTTTGGCAGGGATGCAAGTTACCAGAGGTTTCATGTAGTTGTATAGGGGTCTGGAGGATGCTCTGTAGCATTTCTGCATAAAAATGGACATTTATTGTTGCCCTTACTTTTGACAAGTCAAAACCCTTCTGTAAAATGCTCCCCAGAAGAAGCTGTCATCTCCAGGGCTATGTCAATGGGGCTTAAATAGTTTTGTGGTTTTTTTTTTTATTTCAGATCTATGAGGCTCAACCAGAGGTCTCCAATTCTTTTAAGACTTCAGAATTTATCCCTCTTCCCAGGTTGCTTTCTATGGTGATGGTGACAACAGTCCCTGCAGTGTGCAATAAAATAATGTTCACCCAAGGGTTAAATGTAAGAGCATCTATAGTATTTCAGTGTTTTTTTCTGTCTCAGTTAATGCTGTTTTAAGTGTATGATCATCCAAAAAGTTTCTTAAGTTGGTTAATTACACGTGGTTTGTATTATTTGTCCTAGCATAAATCTGGCTTGGAGAAGCACTGGAAAATGAATTAAAACCATTGATATTACTTTCAGGTGCCTTTCACTGCTCACTAGTCATTTAGGCTGGAAATCTGAAAACCTGTGGATTCTTTCCTGCCAGCCAAGATTTAGGAAATAAATAATTTGTTGACAAATTTTAACATGTAATCAAAGTACAGATCATATGCAAAGCATAAGAGGAATCACTCAAATGTCATCAATTCAACTTCCTTCTTTCAGTTACCCAGCACAGCAGTGAAGCACAACATCCTGTCACTGGTGTCCATGGTGCTGAGAAGAGCCTTGAAGAACATTGAGTACTGTTTGACTGAGGAAACCTGGCAAAGGTCAGAAATCTACACCCTGTCAGGGATGCAGGAGTTTGTGCAGCTGTACAGAGAAGCCATCAGCAAGGTACAAGGGAAAGAGAAAACCGGGGTCTAACATGAGTCCTTTTGCAGTCGACAGGTAACTGCTCTCCTCTGCATTTTCTCCCCATGTGGTTGCAGCCTGGGAGCCAGGAGATGGTATCCTGGGGAAGGAGAATGCTATGAATGAAAAGGTGTTGGTAACTGGTGAGGTAGTAGCCTGTATTTCCTAGCACAGTTGGTTGATGGGAATGCAAATAAAATTTTGTTGTGAGACAGATTTGTAACATTGACATCTGTAGTGCTGCAGATGCTTCCTGCTCTTGGAATTCAAGTTCTCCTCCTGGTTCAAGTCAAGGTACTCAGAAGTTACTAGACAAGGTAGCACTTGAGTTGAAAATATACCATGAGGAAGAAGGACCAACCATAAATTTTTCACAGGAAGCTATTTCAATAACATATTCTTTCCAGTACTGATGTTCTTCAGAAGTGAAAGTACACTGTTTGATTTCAGATCTTTTCTTGATTGCACACAAGATCAGCTCTAACCTTTGTTAAGAGCATCAAATCCTCATGTTGGTTGATTGTATATACTTTTATCACAGGAGCTTTGTCTTACGCAGGAGAGCTGTTGGAATTTTCCCTTTTTTGCTTTTAGCTTTTACCAGACATGAACAGTATCGTGGCTGTCTGGCAGTCCCTTCTGAAGCAAGGGAGAGAACACCATGATGGCCTAGAGGAGAAAAAGGAAGGTGATACCTCCACTGGGAAGACAACCGAGACAGCAGAAGTTGCTGAACAGCATGGTAGGCAAAGCAGGTGTAGTCAGCCCTTCTTATCTGTGTGTGAATGGGTGTTGTGAAACCCTCATCCCACGTAAGGCTGGTAACTTCACCAGAGTCCAGATCCCATTTGTGCCTTTACTGTTCAACTTGTCTTTGTTCAGTTCTTCGGGCAGCCTAAGAACACAGTTTAATAAATAGGGTGCCATTGCTATTAGAACTTTAAGCAGTTTGACTCTCTGTTGTCACAGAATCACAGCACAGTTGAGGTTGTAAGGGATCTCTAAAGATCATCCTGCCCAACATCTCTGCCTAAATCTGGTTGCCCAGGTCCTTACTCATATGGTTTTTGTGTATCTCCAAGGATGGAGATTCCAGAACCTCTCTGAACAACCTGTGCCAGTGCTCAGTCACCCTCATAGTCAAAGAATGTTTTCTGATGTTCAGTGTGTTCCTGTGTTTCACTTTGGGCCCACTGGCTCTGTTCCTGCCACTGGGCACCACTGGAAGGAGCCTGGTTCCATCCTTTTTGCACCCTCCCGTCAGGTGTTTATGTGCATTAATGAGATGTCCCAGAACCTTCTTTTCTGCAGGCTGAACAGTCCCAGCTCTCCCAACCTTTCCTTGTAGGAGAGATGTTCCAGTCTCTTTGCCATCTTTGTGAGCCTTTACTGGACTCTTTCCAGTGTGTCCATGTCTCTCTGGGGAGCCTAGAACTGGACATAGTGCTCCCAGTGTGGCCTCACCAATGCGGACTGGAGGCTGGAGGGGAAGAGTCAGCTCCCTGTCCTGCTGCCAGTGCTCTGCCTAATGCAACCCTGGGTACTCATAGCCTTCTCTGCAGCACATCACTGGCTCATGTTCAACGTGGTGCCCACTAGGACCTTTTGATCCTTTCCTGGAAGCTGCTTTCCAGTTGGGTGGCCTCCAGCATGTCCTGGTGAATGGGGCTGTTCCTCCTGTTGAACTTCACCCTCCTGCCTTTGACCTTCCTGTGCTAATAGGATTTTCTCAGCCACAAAATAAAACTGGCAAAGAAAACTGATATGCCTGAAAAATAATTTTTGGAGGGATTTTTGTTTGGCCAAGGTTTTTTACCATGAGGTCATTTTTTTGAAGCAGTTAGTTAGTGTGGCTACACAAATCCTTGTGTTGCTGTAACACAGGAGTAGAAACATGCAAAGTGTTAAAAGAAGGAGAGAGGGTTGAAGGCTTCAGTTTTCCTCCAGTGTCCCTCCCTTGGAAGGCTTGTTTCCATAGTCCCCTCTCAGGGAACAGGGAGCTTCAGTACTGTCTGTGGCCTGTGATGTTTTATTTGTAGGCTGGAGATAAATCTGCAGCCAGTTTTGTCCTTCACAGGGCATATTCTGTAGAGAGACTTCCTGGAGCACAGGATTTTTCAGTGGATGTCCTGTGCGTGGCTTTGGGCAGCACAATACCTGTCAGCACTGACACTCCAAGGCTTGGTTGGCCGAGTGCCTGTGGAAACCACTGGAGCAGCTGATTTCTGCAGGACTGTAGCTGTAGTTTCTCTGCTATATTTATGCTGGGGTGATAATGCTGTGTCACTTACTCTCAGCTCACCCATTGCAGCTTTATGTGCACCGTGACCACCAGAGAATTCTTTTCTAATGGGAGTTTAGACTCAGGCAAACAAAGTTTATCCATGGCATCCATCCAGTTCTTCATAGCTCCCTGAGGGAGACCAAGTTAACAGGAAAAAAGTAGGTGTTAAATGTTTTGGCTGCCCTTCATGTACTTTGCTTCACTTTGTTAGTGACTGGATAACAAGTAGCTATTATGCGTCCTCATGTTACAAACTGAAAAAACATTTAGCTGCCGAGGTGGCTTTTCCTAAGAAGTAAACAGCTGCCTTATGTGGTGTTGGTGTTTCTCTCATACAGATACTTGTCTGCCTCTTGCCAAGAGGTCACATTGAGAAGGTATTATTTTGAAAGGGGGAAAGTAAAGAAAGAAAGCTTTAACTGAAATAATAAATTAGCAACAAACTATAGTGTACTGTCTCCTGCATTTCCCCAACCAAACCTACCTGACATGAGGTAAAAGTAGTGTGCCTGGAAATGGGCAGCATGCCCATATCCTTGCCTTCACTTTTTTTCTGTTGTCCAGTCTTATATGAAACAGCAGTGGGACTGATGGGATTCTTACAGCGAGGGCTAAACATTGAGATTGTGTTTTATATGTGTGAGCGCTTTTGAGTCAAATTAGAAATGTCATCTGTCAATTTAAGCACTGAATAAGCTGATTTAGTTTTGAAAGTATTCGCACAGGAATGCTGGGGTAGGAAACTGGGGAATTCCATGAGTGTTTTTCTGATTCTTCTTGTTAAGAAGGTTGTAGATCATTTCCTAGGCAAGTCTATTGGAAATATAGTTAGTAATTCTCATGCTGGATAATGGAGGTGCTACACTGTTCTCCCTTGTTATGAAGGAAGGAGAAGCTAATTCTGGAAACACTTTGTTCAGGTTCAGATGATGCCGAGACGCTGTTTCTGAAAGCTGCTCTCCTTCAGGTCATATGCCTTTATCAGAAGGTTGTGCCCCACTTGGTAGCACGGAGCAACTTTGATTTTAGCAAGCTGCTGAAAGGTACGTGATGGGTGTTTCTGTTTCCTTCGCTGTTTTCTCTGGCTGTTCACAAAGCCCACCGCAGAAGGGAATGTTTGCTCTTCTGTGGAGATAAAGAACTGTTTTCCAAAAGGAACTAATTTTAGTTTCTTCATTGTGTTGGCATTTATTGTTGATGTTTCTTCAGTGCTCTGGCACTCTGCCCTCTTAAATTCCGTAGCTGCTCTGCTACACTCAGCTGTGTTACACTGTGCTACAGTTTTCCTCTTCCTGTGCCATATTCTTTATGGGGTGTGAATTCTATTCTTTCTGAGAAAGTCTTACTTTCAACTCTTAGATTTCTCTGTTAACAATCCCAACATCAAAAAGCTATTTCCAAACTCTTATTAACTGTGATGATGAAGAATGTTTTTAACAGCATAGTTCACAGAAAGTTTGGGATGGGAGAGAAGCACATCCTAATTCACCAGTGTCCTCTGAAAACTCTTGTAACAGAGATTCAGCTTCTTAAGGGACCTATTTGTCCCTTAAGTCCTGTGGGACAGAGCCCTGGAGGGCAGAGGGGCCCGAGAATGCTGGCTGATATCCAGGGATCACCTCCTCCAAGCTCAGGAGCGATGCATCACGGCAAGGAGGAAATCTGGCAAAAATGCCAGGAGGCCTCCATGGAAGGAGCTACTGAGCAAAGTCAGAGGGAGAAAAGAAGCTTTCAGAAGGTGGAAGTAAGGACAGGTGGCCTTGGAGGAATATAAGGAAATTGCATGGGGAAGCTGGGGACAAGGTTAGGGAAGCCAAGGCCCAGTTAGAATTGAGTCTGGCCAGGGATATCAAGGACAACAGGAAGGGTTTCCATAGATATGTTGCTAATGAAAGACTAGGGATAATGTGGGCCCTCTGTAGAAGGAAATGGGAGACCTGGCTACCCTGGATATGGAGAAGGCTGAGGTTCTCAAGGATGAGTGATCCAGCCCTGCTGGCCATGTCAGGAAAGGCAAATGCAGGGACTGGGGGAATAAAGACCCTGAGCCCACTGTAGAAGAGGATCAAGTTTGAGACCATCTAAGGAATGTGAGTGTGCACAAGGCCGTGGGACTTGATGAGAGTCATCTGTGGGTCCTGAGGGAACTGACAGAGGAAGTGGCTAATCCACTATCCATAGTATTTTGAGAAGTAGTGGTAGTCCAGTGAACTTCCCACTGACTGGGAAAGTGCACACATAACCCCCATTTTTAAAAAGGAGAAAGTGGAAGACCCGGGGAACTACAGACCAGTCAGTCTCACTTCTGTGCCAGGCAAGATCATAGAGCACATTCTCCTGGAAACTGTGCTAAGGCACATGGAAAGCACAGAGGTAATTGGTGACAGCCAGTGTGGCTTCACTAAGGGCAAATCATGCCTGACAAATTTAGAAAGGTCCTCCAATGCTGCTTGTGGTACAATTAATACAGCCATGTACAACTCTGGGGGAGAGAGCAGAGGGTTGTTTGGGCATCACTGCTGACTATGGGCCACCAGAGCTTGTAGGCCACCCAGCTAGAGCAACTATCTCTGTGTTAGGCAGGCCTGTGATGTGTAAGGATGGGAGTTATGTAAATGCCTTAATTAAACTCTGTCAGGGAAAAAGGGGCTTTAAACAAAACCCCCCTCTAAATCAACTGTCTGATGCACGAGGTTTTTCCTGCCTCTGTCAAAGCATGTTTAATTGGTTTGTCTACTTGGTGACTCACCAAATCACATACCCTGTTTATCCCATTATTACTTATCCCATTATTGCTTACTGGTCTGCTTACTTCAAACTGGACAAAAGGCAGGACACCTTTTTGTCAGGCAGAAATCTCTTTGCGGGTCTGTTTGGTTACATTATGAAATAATGAAGTTGAATAGGTTGGAAAGTGAAGTGTCATTCTCAAACAAATGTAATGAAGTGAGCCTCGATATTGATTTTGAAGGTGATATGGTAGAAAATGATGGTGTAAATTAATCATGAGACTTTGTTCTCTCAAATGTCAGAGTGAGAGTTCTGTCACTCCTTCCCCCCACCTTGATGAAAACACACACACCAAATGCAGCGTGTTTTTCTGCCTCATAGCAATAGTTCTTTAAATGGCTGGTGGAGTTTATTGTTTGGTCTTACCATTGGTTAGCCTTTGTGGTGACTGTTTATTGTCCTCTCTCTAATGTGGGCCACAGTATCCTGCACAGAGTACGAGAAGCACATGGACACCAGAGCTTTGTACAGCTGATCTCCCCATGTAACTTACCTGCAGGTCAGGTGTGGGCAGGTCAGGTTTTGATCACACTGTAAGGGTCTGCATAGCTCTGTGATCTGTGAGGTGAATAACTGAGGTTATGCCATAGCAGATGTTGGGAGTAGGTGATAAAAGTGATGTAGGGAGAGACACGAGTTTAAAGTTCTATTGTCTGGAGCAAATATTGTCATAGCATGAGTGTTAAGATTTATTGTTGACTTAAATTCTGTGGTTTGCTTTCCAGTTTATCCATCCTTTGTACTTCCTGTAGGTCACAGGTTTTCAGGGTTGCTGAGACTGATAGATTTTGTATTCCCGTGCAGCAGTGATGGCTTGTGCTGGGGGCAGTTGTTGGACTCTACCTCTGAGGGCTGGATTCCCACCTTGGATGGGCCAAACATAGTTTCAGTGTGTCTAGGGATCCCATGATATGAAAATTGGTGGATTGCCAGCTTGTCTCACAGTGACTGTTTGAAACCCTAAAATATGAGTGTTCCTGAGATCTCAGGAAGATGGACCAGACTGAAGTTGGTTGTGTTGCTTTCACATCTCAGGTATCGTCACTGAAAAGGGCCTCCGGGAAGAGGTCCCTCCTCTCCTGCAGCACCATATACTGAGAGTGGCTTTGGAACTTCCTGCAAATAAATTTGCCTGGTTCAGAGTACAGGTAAGAGACTTTGATGCAAATTTACGTTTCCTTGGCCTTTCCATCTGGCACTGCCTAGTTTTAAACTAGTCCCAATCCAGTCATTTTAGGAGGCAACCTTTTTGTAAAACCAGTAGGAATTGCAGTCTTAGCATCAGTGAAAAATCACCTCTGAGTTGGAAAGGTTTTATGAAAGGTGAGCAATTTTTGCTTCTCTGATGAGCACTGGACAAGGTTCCCTCAGCTCTGTATGTCTTTGGAGAGGGGCACGAGTGAGAATGTACTGGTTTCCACTTGTCTGGAAAGCCTGAGGTTTCAGACCAAGGAAATGAGCTGCTGATGGGAGCCATCTTACCTGTTCCTAAGGAAGATTTCAACATTTTTTAGTGCTCTCCATAATTCCTGGAAACCTTCAGGTCCCTAGCTCTCTTTTTTACTGCAGGCTTGTAAAATAAGAACACTGTCGAGAGCCTGCTTGTCATGTGAGGAGAGAGGAGTGGGCCAAACTTTGAGGGGAACAGAGACTCCTATGGATTGTGATAACAGGAGTAGGAGATGTTTGGGGAGGGAGGTGGTTTTATCTTGGACCCTTGTATTGGTTGGTGTTTTCTGTTGCTGGTCTCTTCTTCTACTTTCCAAACAAACATTGTGCAAATGAGTACAATGATCCTGGCTCACTGAATGCAAGGTAGTATAAATGATCCCATTCGATTCTGGCCTTGGGATTTTGGGACAGGTCTATAAAATAATGTCTTACATATCTGCTTCAGTGCAACATAATCCTGTGCAGTGTTGCTGTAACACAGGAATTTTAATATACTTTTCTTTTAGGACATCTCTGAGACAGAGAAGGTGTCTGGTGAAAAATCAGTCTTCTATTTACTGATGAAAATGTTTGTTACAAGTAACCATTCTCATCTGAAAATTTCCACTAAAAAACTGATCATCAAGGTAAGCATCAGAACTGAAATATCAGGATATTCAATATATTCCACTGGTCTGAAATTTCAGAATTGTAAAATATTTTCTTAAAGCAGATACTTTTACTGCATAGTTGTGTGGCCAACAGAGTCTCCTTCCCTGTGACTGTTCTTAGAATTTACTGTCAGATAACTGCCTGTTAGCTAAATATTCTATGGAAGTAAATGCTGTCAAGTGACTTTGCTGCAACAGTTGATAAAATATTAAAGAAAATGTCTTTAATGTTTGCTCACTCCCCTAGGCTAAGTTAATTCTGACACTGTGATAGATCAATGTAGTTTGTGCCTGCAAAGGTCTTGACATGGATCAAGAAGAGATGATTTTTGGGATTTATTTCTTATCCTCATTTATTTAATCTGTACTTCATCACTCCAGCCTTCCTAAAGCCTTAGCTAGTTTGCTCTGGCCCTGCAAAATAGTTGTCTTTGTTACAGTCCAATACAAGCTTTGATGAAAGGAGTACTTTTGAATTAAAATCCCCTTCTGTACATTTAAATAAGTCATGATTTTTCAGAAGTGCGATCAACTACAAGAAACCATAAAGAAACCAGTGGCTGTTGTTTTCAGTATCTTCTTAAAACAGGACATCTTTTAGTTATCTAAGTAGGGGTAGAGACCTAAATTAGGAAAAAGTGCAAAGAGAAAATCCAAGCAGCTGTTCTGGGCCCTGGACAGGGCTCTTCCTGCAGTTAGTCCTGTATTAGTGGCACACAAGTTTGTACAGCTTTGTGCATTTAATCTCTGCATTTAGCTTCAGTCACAGGGTGCAATTGTAATACTCAGTGCACTGAACCGAAGTTACAGTGGTTGAATTGGGGTTTAGGTTTTCGATGCTCTTGATCCCTGCAGGGGATTAAATTCAGGTTAACTCTGTCTCTCAGTAATGAATGTCTCACTCAAAAGCTGCCCAGTACTGTTTTTGTGGTGTATTTGAATTCTTTTGCTGAATGGGGGTGGGGGCTGCCTGATTCAGTCTCATGTCCTCTTTCAGGTTCAGTCCATTGCATTTTCGCTGAAGGTAATGCAGGGGCAGGGAAGTCAGGGCAGTTATGTCAGCAGAAAGGCTGCTAAGAATAGATGTTAATGGGTGTGTTTTGTTTATTTTTCAACACAGTGCCATGTAATCGAAGGCATGTTTTTGGATTTCACATTCTGTTCCAGCCAGTTTTCATGAGAACTGTGCATTTCTATTTTGAGACCCTGCCACAAATAGTTAATTATGTTAAAATGAATCCTTTTCCCTTCATTTTTTCTATATTTTAATGAATTATCCTGTCAGATTTGTGTAAGCAGCAGTTATTTTTATAGCTGTTGGTGTTGTACTCAGATTAAATAGAAGAAGAAATAGTAGAACAAATGAGTTGTGATAGCTTCCTTTGTATACAAAGAGGTTGAGAAGAGAGCTATAGATACTTCTGTTCATCAACCTGCTCCTCTTTTTTAATTTCCAAGGAGAAAACATGAAATTCCTATACAAAAAGATCTGTGGTTTGGGGAATATTGTATTTTAGGTGTTTTGCTTTTTTTTACACACCTGTCCCTTTGTTTTCTGGACAGGTTTTACGTGACAGTGGAGTGTTTGAGTACACGTGGAAGGAACTTACAGTTTGGCTGGAACACTTGGATAATACAAAAGAAGACCAAAAGGAAGCAGTGATTCAGTTTTTGGAAAGGGTAACAATGTCCAAATTAGCTGGATAAACAATACCAAGAATAGTGTTAGTGGAAACCAGGGGTTTTGTTGCTGTTTTTGAGAAATCTGTCAAAGACCAGTGAACGAATTCCAAGAAAAGCAGTGTTTGTCATTCTTTATACAGGGCTGACATCTTTCTTGTCTTGGTGGGAGGACAGCAAAATGATTTGCAGGAAAATTAAATCCCAAAAGATAAGTTGTTATTATAGCATTGTTGTATGTGTGGGTAGCATTTATCTCCTCCTAAAATGGCATTACCTGCCAAAATTACCAGACCTCAGTAAATTGTAATCTTTTTACTATAAAAGTTGACATTTCCTGTTTACTCTTCAGGATGTTAAATGCTTCTTTTTCAATGCAGTTTCCCCAGAGACTCAGTCTGTGGTAGCACTTCAGGTGCCAGATTGCAGTGGATATTTCTTTTTCCATCAGACCCAGTGTACCCTGTATGGCAGGAACCACAGGCAGATTCCAACAAAAAGTTGTCCTCCTAAAACTTGCCCAGCTTCCAACCACTTGTAGCACATGGGCTTTTTTAACAAGGTGTGGTTCCCATACACTTAAGAGCCTGTGCACTTACTTTTCTCTCAACCTTTGTTGGCAGGTCCTGCTGAAACTGGTGACAAACCCCTATCCCTACACAGACAAGGCAGCAGACCTGGTTCAGGAAGCCAGCATGCTCCAGGTCAATATGTTTAAACAGGACTCTGATAACATCAGCATCCCCATCTCTCACATTGATGGTAAGTGGTGACTCCTCAAGGACGGAGAATTCCAAGACTTGGTACCTGTGTTCCTGGAGTGCTGCATTCTAGCTCTGTTGTTTTCCAGTTAGTCTGAATCCTCTGCTTACATTTTTTTCTTCACTTAATAGATGTCCTGGATATGGTGGATGTCATGATTGAGGGCAGTGATGGCTTAGATGAGGAAATTGAGTTCACTTTAAATGAAGACATGATTATTCAAACATTTCCATTCAGTGCTGTTGTCCCTGCTGCATTAGAAGCCAGGAATGTACTGTTGCTTCAGTCTGAAAACGGAACAGGTACAGACTTCTGTTTCTATGTATCAGCTCTGCCAGTGGAGTGGAAGTGGGATCATTTTTACCCAGTGAACTCCTCAAGACATTTTATTATCTTCATACCAGATATCTTCATATCAGATCAATGGTGCTTCCTGCTCAAGAGAAGCACTATGAGGTGCTTCTGTCCTTTTTTTCTTGACCCTAAACAGGAGACACTGTCCTTGCATGGACAGTCTTGGTCTGGAAGCAGTTAGCTTCAGTAACAGAGTGTTTTAAGCACAGAGTGTGCAGATATGAGAGGAAGGTGGTGTCAATAGCTGTAGACAGCTCTTCCACAGGGACCAGGCAGTGAGAGAAAGGACTGCACTGTTGAGTAGGAAACGGATGTGTTTTCCAAAGAAAACTTCTTCAGAGATGAAGCTCTGATGGTGAAGCTGTGGTGGTGGTGTTGCAAAGTTCTACCACATCCTTGAGGAAAGCGTTGGAGTCACAGGGGCATCAAGTGGGCTCTGAACAGGATTTGCCAAACCCCACAGCACCTTGCTGAGTTCTGTGTGTATTTGGCTATTGAGTAGCAGCTGGGGTGGGACTGAGAAGTCCCAGTTCTGAAAGAAACTCCTCCCACTTTACCTCACACATGTTGACCTGGCTGTGTGCCCCCAGTACAAATGGGTTCTCTTAGGTGGTGCTTGGCTGGGGTCTTTATCATGTTAAAATACAGGCCTGTTTAGCACAACACAGTGAAGGCAGAACTAGTTTTATGCTTGTCTGGAAGGAAACAGGCCAAACTGAGCATGTATCTGAAAGTAGGGTGATTATTTACTTCAGCAAGAACTACTGAATGGATGATTTTCCAGGTAGCTTGGTGGGTCAGGAACACTTGTCTAGCTTACCACAAACACCTTTTAATCCTATTCAGTACTTCCCTAAATGGTGCTCTGGGGCCTGCTGCCCAGGTCCTAGGGAAAGAGGATTGCCCCAGTGTCTTTGTTCATGCAGATTATTTCTATCAATAGAAGTGTCATTTTTTATTTTGTTTTTCTAGGAGCACACATCGTGGAGTACCTTGTTGCTGTTTTCACTGACCTCCTGCACTCTCAGAGAGAACCTTTGGCCCTCTGCTTGATGTTCCAGCTCTATGATAAAGATCTGAAGTCCCTGAAAGTTTCCAAGTACCCTCAGCTCTACCAGTTTAACCAGTACTATAAACTGTGGATACCCCAGCAATCTCAGGAACCTGTGGTATGGAATACCTGAAGTCACTGAATGCTTGAGCCAGTATTCCTCTAAAACCTCACAGTTTATAAAGGTTACATTTCCATCAGAAAGTACTTTTACATTAAGCTAATTCTGTATTGCTTCTTGATCACGTTGGGACACAATTTTGCTCGAGGGCTTTTCTCTAAGGACACAAGATGTCTGGGTGGTTGGGAGGTGATGCTAGGGCTCAGGTGTTGTACACAGTCACAGAGACACAGCTCCTCACCAGGCACAGCACAGCCTGATGTGTGACGTGTTCTCAGGAGCCAGTTCACAGTGGCAGAAGTGGGTTGGGAATGCACAGGTCCCCTGTGCTGGGTGTGGGTGAGTTAGCCCAGCAGTGAGCGAGGGCACATTCCCCTCGGGACAGCTCTGTGATAGCAGGACTTGTGCTCCTGGAGCTTCAGCCAGGTTTCAGCTCAGAGCTCATTTGAAAGCAAAGGTAGCTGAAGAAATCTTTGTTTCATACTCATTGTTATTTTCCTCTTACGCTTTTTTCTATTTTAAACAGTTCAAAACCCACAAAGAGGTAAGCAAAGAACCTTCTGTGGCCCTGGATTCTGTGTTTACCACTTTGTTAAAGAGAGCCTACGAGAGAGGAAGCAATACCTTACTGGAAGATGGTATCCAGACAAAATTGAGAGACCTGGCTTCCCAGCTCCCACCTGAACAGCTTTCGTTGGGAGTAAAGCATGTGTTGCTATACCTGAAATCCACAGTGGAGAGCTTCGGCAGTGTAAGAGCAATATTATAATAATATTGTGGGTTTGTTTGGTTTATTTTAATGCAGAAAGTACAAATGACCTGGCTGTTAAAACTTAGGATTCAGTTCTGCAGCTTTTTCCTGTACTTGGCTCTCACTGAGGCTACAGAGCACCAGACAAAGCTGCACCTAATTTGTAAATAAATGTCTGTTCTTCTGATTGTTGAGGAGTCTTGGATTTACTTTGTGTGGGTCACCTTACTGATCTGTGTGAGTGCAAATAAACCTGAGAATTTAAACCTGAAATAAACCTGGGTGTCGCTAAGAAGCCTTTCCAGAGGGTGAAATTCACTGGCCTATGTTACACCAGAAGTCACAGTATAGATGAAAATCTATATATATTTATTTGGCAGCCTGAGACTTTTCCTAGAATCAGGTTCCTACAGAGGGGAGCGATTCCTTCTTGCAGAAGATGTTGTAATCTAAGTAGCTCTTAGTTAACTTCCATTCCTGTTGGATAATTATCCTTCTGCTCCCATCCTTCTCTTTTCTCAATTTCCAAGGTATCTTTATTTTCACAGCTTAGTAAAACTTCTGGTCCTCAACTTGTTGACCTCTATGTGGACCTGCTGAACAGCTTGTTGTGCCGGGGCAATCAGATAGAGTTGGATTATCAGCAGAAACGGGAGGAGCATCAGACTGAGTCAGATCTCTTTGTGGATGAGGAATCTCTGATCACAGAGGAGTCTTCAAATGACAAGGTACCAAGTCCCTTGATACACAGGCATCTGTTAGTAAACTTTGATTTATTCTCTAGGGAAATAGTCATAAGTTTTGCTTAACCACAGATGCTGTTAAGGTCTCAGAGGAGAACTTAGCAACATAGAGCATGTGGACCAAAGTACTGTCTGGAAATCTGACCCAGCTGCATCATCCACACTCTCACTCCTGAGGTGTCAGCAACACAGTCAGGAGAGGTCCTGAAAGAGACACCTTTGCAGAAAACCCTTTGTAAAGCCTGGTTATGAAAATTATGTTCTTGGAGGAGTGATTTTTTTTTCCCTTCTTTCATCTGTTCTGTGAATTTGTGGAGATGAGAATCAAACTGTGTTGACAAAATATGCAGATTTCCTCTGGAGATGTGGAGAATCCTCAGTGGAGCCTTGCCTCCCCACAGCTTGAACGGTGGAAGAATGGTATATATGTACTTGTAGTTCATTAATATTTTTATCCTCTGGGCAGTTAGTAGACAATTTCATGTTCAGTAATTGTAATTAATGAACTGTGGAAAATAGACAGATGAATGCTTTTATTTTTTTGCCTCAAACTCTAATTTTCCATTCCACGATATTGTTACAACCATCTGTTACAGACCCTGGAAGATACACTCATGTTAATTTTCGGACATCCTGTGCTGGAGAGTTGGTTCCTGGCTTTAGAACTACGTTCTGTTCCTCAGCCTGGTTTGAACCCTGTCACTGTGAAACTCCTGTCAGCTCACCTCAATTCTGGTGTGCTCCAGCTGCTGAAAACAGGTGCCCCCATCTTTCAGAGCATCACAACAGATCACAGACATGTGTTGTCCAAGTATTTCGAAGCTATCACAAAAAGTGTCTTGAAAGAGCTGCAGGCTGTGGGGAAAGACAGCAGCCGGATCTCTCCCAGGAAGTCTCACCAGCTGCAGGCTCTGGAGGAGTTGCACATACACATGAGTGCAGCTCAGCTGAAGGACATCACTTTAACCATGCTGCGACTTCCTGAGACAAGCTTGACTGCTCAGAAATCTGAAAAATCCCCTAAGAAAGGGAAACAGTTGAGCTTCTATGGACAGATTTTGGTGCAGCTCCTCACAGACAGCTACCAAAGGCAGCCTCAGCAAGGAGAGCTCCTGCTATCCACAGAGCACATTAGAGCTTTGGGGGTATTGATGTCAGCATCAGCCAGCAAAGATTTGGAGAAGGTTTTCCTTCAGGCTCTCCAGAATGAGCCAGTCCTTGCCCACGCAGTCAGTGTCGAGGTGCAGGTTCACTGCCTCAACCAGTGCTCCCACACCTCCCTTGCCATTGTGGCCATGCTGATCAAGCACTCCAGGACTCACCTGCTGCAGTTTGAGCTCTGGTGCCTGAGCAGTGCCACTGGGAAGTACCTCAGGAAGCACATGGAGAGCTTTCTCCCACTCATTAATGTGTATTTGCAGTGCAGAGACCAGTATGATTTCACCCGACCTTCCACAGGTAAAGGAACCACTGATCTGTGTTTGATTTGGGAGTCTTGGATCCTCTGCACAATAAGTAGATGTGATAAAACTGAGGTGTCTGTCCTCTGATGACTCTTGTAAGCACCTCTGCAGCACTAAGAGCTGTGCTGAGGGTTGGCTGTTAGAATGAAGCCAAATGTTCTTACAGTTACTGCTGCCCACATTTCTCTTTTGAAGCCCTTATGCTTGGGGTGTGTGAAAATCTGTCTTTGTGCTTCTCTTGGTTTAGTACAGGAAGTAAAACCTTTTGCATAGGCACAGATGGAACACACCAGGCAGATGGTTTTGCAGAATCTGAGCTGTAACTTTTACAGAATCCAAAATTTTCTTCTAAAACAAATCTCCAACTATAGCTTTGCTACATGCCCTCCTAAGCTGGCAGTCCAGACCTTTCCAAACTCACAACAGCATTACACTGATGGACGAGAGTGTTAAATTCTTTACCAGCAAAACGAGGAGATAGGATTCAACTTGAAAGAACAGGATCACTTTGGTTTCATTTCTCCTATTGCCCAGAAATATAAATAGCAAAGGAAACAAGCTGACTGTAGCTGTAGCTGTACCTACAAGGTCAAGCAGTGAAAAGACCTTGTCAGCACCCAGGAAAGTAAAGGATGGGCAAAGAACTAAGCCTTTCTCTAGCACTTCTCTGTAGCAGATAAGCAGCTCCTGTAGCATCATTTCCGAGAAACAGAATAATCTGGGCCTGGGTTAGAAAATGATTTGGGATTAGTGTGTTGTTGCTTAACACCTGTAGGTGGTGGAAACTGTGACCTCTGCTCTCCCTGCAGTTGTCTCTGCTGTTACCCCTGTCCTGAGGAAAGCTCTGTGGAAGGAGCTCTGCGCTGGAATTCAGGACACAGAAGTGTCGTGTGAGACTACTGTGAAACTGCAAATTCTTTCAAAGTTGTTGCCATCTTCAGAAAGCAAAGGGCTGCGCAACCTGATGGACCAGCTTCCTGCTGCTTTTGAGAGAGCAGGGAATGAAGAGAGGTGGGCAGTGTGTGTTGCCCTCTCAGGGCTCAGGTTGTCCTGAGTGCAAATCTTGTGAGCAGTAACAGCATCCTCTCCTCACAGAATCTGTCGCTCTGCGCTTTGGCAGCAAGACACTTTTAACATATACAAAAAGCAAATTAAACATGAACAAAAAAAATAAATAACTATCTCTCTGCAGTTGGACAGTGGCAGATGCCATATCCAGAGTGCTTGAAAACTCAGAGGAGCTGCATTCCTGGAGGAGACGCCTGTTATCAGCCTGCATGAAGGGGTTAGTTGCCATGTACAGCAGCAATAAAGATGAAAGCAAGCAAGAAGTGGAGAGGTCCACGCTACTGAGGCTGGAGGAATTACTGGTGAGAATTCTTATCTGCTTTGCCAGTGTGACACTGTGTGCATGTGTGTGATTGGACACTTGTGTCTTGGGAAATATAGACTGGATTTGATTTCCTGTTTTATAGATTATGATTTCCATGGGCTTTTAATAGCTTTTATGGTGTTAACTTAGCCCTGCTAATACTTTATAAAAAGGAGTTTTGAGTTCTTGATGTCTACTTTCTGCTAGGAGTCCCCTTTGAAGACAAGAGTATGAGGTATTCAGGAGTAAAAAATCAAAGGTTGCCAGTGGATTTTTTTTTTTAATTAAAAAAAAAGTGATAAAGACGCTTCTGCCAAGACCCACCTACCATGGCATCTGCAGTCTGGGGCAGAGATCCTTTTGATCAGTTGTTGTAAGGAACACATATACCCAGCCACCTCCATGTGCCACGTGCACAACTTGCTTAGTTTAAGGACACAAAGACCTAGTACCGAATCCCTTGCTTTGATTTGCCTGTTTTTGATTCCTTTCACACTTCAGGAGTGTTAAGAGTTTCGAGGCTCTGGGTTTTTTTGGTACCTACAGACCAGCTTGCTTTTCAATTACATACAGCCCATATGCTCCTCTGCTCGCAGACCAACAAAACAACCCTTGTGTTTTCATTCGAACAAGGAGATAGGGTTGTTGTATCCAAGAGCTTTTTTCCCTGCTATCCCTTGATCATCCCACCTGAGTTTGGCTTGCATGTTGATAGTGTGTCCCTTGAACAGAAATTGCTGGTGTTGATGAGCTGTAGAAGCTCCGTGTGCCAAATGTAAACACCTGTTTTGACTTGCTGCACACACAGCGCATGGTTGGAGAAGTGGACCCAGATGACTGGTACAGCCTTGTGAAGACAGGACTCAAGTAAGTGTTTCCATTTTCATTATTTGCTTTGGTTTTACTAAGTTTGCTTTCTTTGCAGAGTTCTCATTTCTGAAACAGCTTTTTATTTCAAGCAGGTTTCTATGAGTTTGGTTGGGATCTGACTTTTCTGTGGTCCTTGCTCCCAAAGGTACCGCTACAGAGATGAAGGGTTTCTGAAAGTCCTGAATGTTGCCTTACAGTTACTATACAAGAAAGAATCTTCACTTAGTCAGAGCTTAGTCAAGCTCTCCAAACTTCACATGATGGTCATGCAGCACTCTCTATTTTTGTCAGTCATCCTGAGGTCAAGAGAAGAAGATGGCATGAACATCCAGACAAGAGGTTTTTTTTTTATCTCCTTCTTGCCTTTACTAAATATAGTTAATCTTGTCTTTCTTGCATTATATTTTCTCCATCCACTAATCTATCCATCTACATGAATACTTGCAGAGCTATTAAACAGTTCCAGAATATTAGCATTTAGTTTTAAATTGTACCTGTTCTTGGATCCAAATGTTACATATATTTTATTGATGCTGGTTTTAAACACTAATATTTCTAAAACAACTGGAAAGTAGGTTTGGGGTTTTTGTTTGGTTTTTTGGGTATTTTTAAACCAAGTTGAAGTCTTGGATTGATTCTTTTGCTTTCTGTGAGGCAGTTAGTATAAGATCACAGAAGTGCATATAGGTCCTGTGACGAGAGACCTATTTTAAAATAGGTTGATACAGGAGATTTTAAGTTGATTTTGCAAGTTGCATCAAAAAAATGTTAATTTAAATGAGGTGTATTTGATACCGCAACTTTCATGAGGAATATCCTTCCTCATAAATTGGAATATAAATTGGATGCTAGTTCATGTGTAGGATTGGCTTTGTTTCTTCATTGCTGAAATGCTGCCTGACCATTAACCACATTTAGTCTGCCTAGACCTCAGCTTTTCCCCACAGCACAGGGGTTTGAGATTCACTGATTAAAGGAGCTGTGTAAGAAAAAGGGGAGGAAATTTTCAGGGCAGCTTGTTGATAACAAATTTTGTGTGTATTGGTGAGGAACATGTAAACAAGCTTTCAAGTTTTAAATCACCTGAAAAGAGAAAAATGCTCTTGTCAAGTCACAAATTTAGTGAAATTAAAAATAAGGAATAGATTTTGCTGCTTACTGTATGTGTCTTACCTTTAGAATGTATTTCAGTAGAGCAGCAAGATGGATCCTTTGAGGCTAACTGCAATATTCCAGAAGCTTGATGTCAAGAGTGCATTCACTCAGGCTGTTGCTTTATGAGCTCTTCAGATTTCTGCAGATAACTAGGGACCAAAGCCTGTGCCTTCTCAGATAGTGGGAGTAGAGAAATCTGGAGTCAGGTTTTGAATGTGCTACAGACACCCTGTTTGCCTTTTAGTAACCTGATCACTTATTTTTTCTGTTTCTTAGTTAGTTATAGAACAAAGTGGGTGATTTTTGTATGCTACAGGACAGAGTTCCTGTAGCTCAGTAACTACCTGAACTCTGCAGTGCTGATCCCTGTTGGAATGCACAGTGTAGGAGCATTTTTGTAGTTACTGCAGCTGGGGTGTGAACTAACAAGTTCTTGCTATAACTCCTCAAGTACCTTGGGGAGGTTGCTGGGATGTCTGCCTGTTCCCCATGTAATGCATTCTAGATGCCCTCCTGAGAGAGGAGGGAGTGAAGGTATGGCAGGGTAGGGGACAGCACTCCTTTTTAACCAGAGAGCAAGTGGAAAAGTTTCTGCATATGTACCACACTGGGGACCTCACCTGGCAACATGCCTTGTGTGTCCAGCTTGGGAATACTGGTTTAAGATGTTCCACTTCAATGAAATGCATCATAATTGTCCTTTAGTGTAGTTGGGGAAATGGGTTCTGGTATTTCTAGAGACAGATCTTGATGTAAAATGTACAGTCCTGTCTGTGCATCCATTGTAGAGGGTCTGGGGGGGTGTTTACATGTGCACTGTGTGACTGGGAGCTGCCAGGCTAAAGCTGTGCTTATTCCAGAGGCGCTGGTGGATGTTCTGCTGACAGCTGTGCAGCTCAGCCCCTCTCTGTGTGAGAGCAGCCACCTCCCTGTGCTGCTGGGGGCCTACGGGGCCACTCTGAGTGCTGTAGGTGAGTGTGTTACCCTGGGAAAGGCATTTCCTACATCTGGCTTTCATCTCCATGGGTGACTAACTTCAGGTTCAATCGTGGTTTTTAGATCAGAAGATACTGCTGCTGCTTCAGTTGTATGAGAAGAATAATCAAAGTCTTATAAACTCCAGGTAGGCTGAGCACCTTCCTTTGTTGGAGTAACTACACACCAATAAACAGTCTCACAACTGGCATTTTTCCAGGATCTTATTTTTGACTGAAATAAACAATGAGCAATGTCAAAGCTAGAGGTGAATTTTGCTTTTAGAAACATTTTTCCTATGAATTTCCTATTCTCAACCTTGTTTCTCATGTGTTGCCCAAACATTTGGGTGTCTGTGGGTTGGGTGAGGAAGTGCCTCATTTCAGGAGTCCCCTGCTCTCCATACTTACTACCCACCATAGGGATGTCCTCAGAGATGGAGGCCAAAGTGTAGGACTTCTGGTCATTAGAGTAGGACTTCTTCCCCTTCCTGTGCCTGAACAGTCCACAGGAAAGCCTGTTGCAGGAGTTCTTCCATACACTGAAGGTTTTGGTCTGCCTTCCTCACATGCACTTTTCTGTCCTGGGGGCAGAAATATTTCCAGCAGTGCAAGAACACTGGCTTAGGCAGCTGGAGCAGGTCTGAATCCCTGTCTCTTAATGCAGCTGCTCATTCTTACCTGCACTTAGAGCTTAAATATAGAGGCACTTTCTGTGAGCAGGTACATTCTGACTTGGATTGACAGGGTAGGACAGAGTTAATGAGACACTCTCAGACTGAATTCAAAAAGCTTTGTGATAGATGGAAAAGGTGTTGAGTTCAGGAAATGAGTTCTAGTTTCATGTTGCCACGGGGTAATAAGTACAAGTGAAGAGAAAATTTAAATACCTATTTTGAACCTGTAATTGCTTTCTGCTCAGTGCCAGCAGTCTGTTTCCTAATGCCTTTACTTTTAACAATGTTTAAGAATCCTGCTCTGGGGTCCGGCTGCTGTGGAGCATCACAGGACTTGCAAGAGTCTGGGGAAGTCCCTCTGGCAGCAACCAAGCATGGAGGAGATTCTGTGTCTGCTAGACAGAGAAAAGATGATGAAGACAATTCTGTCATTCCCTCAGCATCGCCGACTGCTGCCATCACAGGTGCTTTTCCTGCAGGCTATCCTTGGTTATCCTTCTTTGGATGTGCAAAAAGAGCCTTTCACTTGAGCCATTCCTTTCTTGCATTCATGTAATACATTGCAGTTTGTTTCCATCAGGAGAGTAATTTCAATTCGTAGGATGACTGGAGTTAATTCTTTAGGACCACTTTTCAGATGAGTTGCAGTATATGGGCCACATCTTGTTGGCAGGTGTGATTGTGCATTGCAAGACTGTCATGTGTGTGAGACCAGAATTGGAGTATCCAAGGATGCTCTGACAATAGGCTCTCCAGTCTTTCCTGAAGTTTGCTGACATGCTGTTGGTGCTGGTGAGGAGAAATAGTTGTGAATAAGCCCTGGTAGTGAAGGCCAGATTTAACCATTGGAGTGCATGTCTCACCCTGTGTTGCATTATATTTTACAAGGTGTAGTATCAACTGGTTTATCCTGGGATGAGGTGGTTGGGGAAGTTTGAAACCAAGCTGGAAATTGTTGTTGTTCCTTACAAATACTGGTTTGGATTTGGTTTCAGGAAATACAAGAGTCACTATATAAAGATGAAACTGTCAAGAGTCTTGATGACTTCTATGATCCTTGTTTTCTACTTCAGCTCTTCAGTGAACTGACCAGACCAGGTAAAGCGAATGTTTCTCTTGGGTATTTAGTGTCAGGTTACTCTGCTGCAGGAGCAAGTAGTACAAGGAATTTGTGTCTGACTTTCAAGAGAAGGAATGTACTGCAGTGAGGGCTGTGGCTGAACTGGCTGGAGATCTGGCCTGTTACAGGCTGTAGTTATAGAACATGGAAACTTCAGCCAACTCACTTTCCAGCAGATAGAGGTGCATGGGGCCAGTGTGTGTTATGAATAGGCTGAGAGCCCTCAGAAATCAAAGGGACACAAGTATCCTAAGGAATTTCCTAACCAGCTCCCTCCCTGTGTTGGTTATGGTTAACCACTGTGTAGTTACAACTAGATTTGGCTTTCCACACCAATAATATCAGAAGCACTTGGCAGGCTGTTAGTGTCTGTCAGTGAAACCACACTCACAGTCCTTTGTTCACCCAGACCTTTGCAGTACAGCACCTGTTTGGGTGTTCTTAGCCTGTCCTTAGCTATGGTTTAAACTGTACAGCAGGAACAAGAACTGTCTTTCAGTCCTCTGAGGAGAAAAGATACCAGAACTATTTGACATTTTGTAGGAGGAGGGATTTCAGATGATCCAGTAAATGTGCTGGACCTTTGAGATGGATGTGGATGAAGAGCATGGACAGCCAATGTCTTTGGAACTGGGTGTAATAGTTGAATAAAGCACAATGCCATCACCACCCACCACCTGAGCTGGAGAGAGGCATCTGATGGTTCTTGCTCAGCCTCAGCAGCACTGCAGCTGGTGCTGACCCTCTTGTGTGGCCACTTGTGTGGGAAGCAGCGAGACTGAGAACGTCGTGTTCTTGTGGAGCTGTGGAGACAGTGGCTGTATTGAATCTGAAACTGGAGAGGAGAAAAACAACCCTCTTTACTGTTCCACACTGAATGAGAGTCGGTGTTGTAAGAGGGGCACTTTTAAAGGGCCCAAGTGATTTATGAGTTCGAGTCCCATGGTGCTTATAAACCATGTCATCTGCTCTTGGAATTCCCAGCTCTTTATTTATTTGCTCTTTGTACTGGCTGCACAGTGCCCTGTGCACAGATGTAACATAACTGCTGAGTTTATAAACACGGACTTCTTGCACAGTATTTAATGCTCACTGAGGAAAAAGTCATTCTAGAGTTGGGCAGATAACAAGTTCTGTCTATCTTCAGCTCTGATAAGCATCTTGTGGAAAGCTTTTCCATCACGGTTCTCGAGGTCCTTTAAACAAACTGTATGTCAGACATAGAATTAACTTGGTGGTTTTTTAAATAATAACTCGTCATTTTATGTTAATTGTTGAACACAGTCTCGATGCAAGATATTACCACTGCGTGTTTTTAGTGGAAGAAAGTTTTCCAAATGAATCTGTGGACTGCTGAAGTGAGAACCTTGGATTTCATTACGTGGCACCACCTCATGAAATCACCCACTTGGTGTGACTGGTTGGTGCCTGTTAGTAGTTCTCCAGCAGCCTGAAGGAGAGCAGAGTGGTGGCTCTGGGACAAAGGGCACTGGACTGGTGGGGTGGTAGAGACTCTGCTGTTACCTGGCCCATAACTAGCAGAGCTGGGTAGGAATCTGCCAGGCATGAAATGGAGTTTTAGGAGTTCTGGCAGTTGAGAAGAAGATGAGGGAAACAGCCCAGCTGCTGATGCAGGGACAGGACCAATCTGTGATTTGTTTACATAAAGATATCATATATATATATATTAGTTTATGTGTGCAGTGATGGGGGAGGAAATCAGTGGATCAAATATGGGTACTTGTAAGTAAGACTACAGCCCCTTCTTAAATAGGAATATTTGTTTCTGGAAGCTTCCTCTTGACCTTCAGTGTGAATGAGGAGAAAATACCTTAATATAATTGCTAAACTCAGCGCCATGGTACATTTGCACTGTAGCTGGTAAAATACCATCAAAAGGTGCCATTGTGTTCCTTTCCTGGTGAATGGAATTGAAATAGTTTTACACCAAGTCTTTTCTAGCCATCAGTGGGTAGAAATGGGACAAACTCTTCAAAACACAGAGCCCTTAAATGAGAAACACCAAATCCTGATGGCAAAATGCTGTGGAAGGTAAATGTTAGAAGGGAGTGTTTCCTATTTTCTGTTGGGCTGGATTTTGTTTTTCCCAGAAGGGCACAGAGGTGCAGTTTGGTACTTTGCTTGGAACAGGCCTTACCAGCAGAGTCACTCCTGCCTGCACAGGGACAACTGCTGTGGCCAAAGGACTATTTATGTGTTACTCTCCTGCCCTTTCTGTTGCAGAAGCTTTTTAGTGCAGGTAGGCTTTTCATTTGCTGATCTTTCTTTTAGGCACCCAGAAAATGCTCCGGGGAGGTGAATTCTACCTCTTGTTCTTCTTTGTACTCAGCTTTTCCTAAACAGTGAGATATGATATGTCTTTTCAGAGTTTACTCCTAACTTGGCATGCCCTAGGCAGGCAGGGTCATCTCTGTCTCACATAAATGAGACTGACTTCATGAATTCCAGCTCAAGTAAAGAATTCCTGTTCAGAGTGATTTGCAGAACACCTTTGTTAGCTGGAGGAGCCTTCAGCATGTGGTGAGGTCATAGTTTGTCAGGGTAGAGCTAGAAATGGGTGCTTATGAACAGGAATGTTAAGGATTATAGTGCTGTTACATACTATGGGACTCACCAGGGGCTTTGCTGTGTCTTTTTTCCCTCTTCCCACAGAGTGTGTGGTGGCATGTCACAAGTTTGTGGAAGTCAATGCCCTGGGTCTCACAGTAGCTGCCCTGAGCAGCTACGATTCCAACATGAGAGCGGCTGCATATTTTGTCCTGGCTTCCTTCCGCTCCCACTTGGAAGGAGCTCGCTTTCGGGAGAAGAGCCAGGTAAGGCTGAGCTCCACTGCCAGTCTGCCAGATGAGACCTTGAAGGTCATGGACACTCCTTTGCTCATCCATGTACATGCACATGGTGAAAGAGCTAAAAGCAACTTTTTATCCTCTTTTCCACTGTTTCTCCTCTATCGCTTTATGTTTCTTTCTGTTAGAATCAATAGACAGAAAAACTGGGGAAATGTGTTTTAGACATTCTTAGAAATTTTGTTTATAGGAATGGAAATCCTGATGGAATTGATATTTGAGTTACAGCCTATGAAATATCCTGAAAGCTGACTTATGTATTCATACTCCTGTTATATTCATTCGGTTTATGGTTCAGGCTTTTCTCTTCTGGGCTTTTGTAGTTGCTGTATCTCTTGGATACTGTGCAGAATGGAATCAGGCAGCCCAACCTCAGGTTCACCTTCTCCCTGACCCTCTACATTGCTCGTGTGGCACAGCAGATACTGAAACCAGGTACTGTAACCTCCTGTGCATGTCACTCCTGGGGCGAGTCCCTGTGCATGTCTGGAAGAGGGGAGGGCTGTGACACTGGTGGGAGCCATGATCCTGCATTCCTGTATTTCACAGAAAAACTCTCAGTATTGTGTAGGCTGCCTTCCTGAAGCAATGGGAAGTGCTATTTGTATTTGTGTACAAAACCAGTCTGATACGTGGTGGTGAAACCACCACCTCCTCGTAATTTTGGGGTGGAGGTGAGCAGAGGATGAGTGTGAGGGTCCTGCTCAGCAGATCAGAGTAGATTAGCCCAAGTGTTCTCTTGTCCTTGGATGCTGAATCAACATTAAGTCACTGTTGCAAAGGAGTCATGGCCTCAGGGAGCAGGGCAATCTGGAAAGGACCTTGTGAGGTCTCCAGCCCTACCTTCTGCCCAGAGCAGCTGTGAGGGCAGAGCACTTTGCTGGGTCTTTATCCCAGAAAACCTTCAGACCTCTAGGCTGATCCTACAAAACCTCCAGGGCTGATGACTTCATAGTCCCTCAGGGCAACTTGTTTCACTGCTCGTGGGGGGCATGTCTCGTCTGTAGAATAAAAAATTAGGCTTGAAGTGTGTAGAGGTTTTGCGTCTTGCTTTGCTGCAGATTTCTGTTCTGTCAGTGCAGTAGTGTTGGATTTGGTGAAATCAGAGTCATGGTGAATGTTTATCTTCTCACCTGCTTTGTGCTCATTCACTCTGAGCTTTTCATTTTGGAGAAGAGAAGGGATGCCCAGCAATATAACGAGGCCTCCTGCAGTTCCTGGGCTGCTCTCACAGCTGGAACATTGCCCAGTACAGCTGCCATTTACTGTTCTCTGTGGTTGTGTATTGGGAATGTGTTCCTCCTCCACAATGACAGTTATTTCTCTTCACAGAGGAGCATATGTATATAAAGGTAAACAGATTTCTTCTATCACACCAGTATTTGGACCTGAAGAAAGTTCCAGGATTTTTCCAGCTTTTCTACAGTTTTGATTTTGAGGTAATGTAAGGATCACATCTTAGGTATCCACTAATTCCTCAGACAATAATAGAAAAAAGCCCTTAAAATACAACAAAATCTCCTTCTCCCATAGGTAGTTAATTAGAGGCACCTTTGTTTTGTTTCATATTAGAATTAAAGTTATTATTTCCCCGTTTCTTTGTTGTTTTCTTAATAGTAACACACAGTGAAATAATTTGTTGTGCTGTGTGTTCTCTGTGAGCACACTAAACAGAATATTCTGCCCTAGCTATCTTACATTCATCTTCGAGTTTAGATTATTAACACTGAGCTCAAATGAAGTATTTTAGGAACAGAAACTTTTAAGGTTCCATTTTCAGTGCATATTTTGGCTGCAGACTGACTGTTCCTGATGGATGTTAGTGATTAAATTTGATAGAGATGGAAATGGAGAACAAGCTGTGGTAAGCCTTGAGCTGGCACTCCCAGGGAATCAGGTTTTTGTGCTCTTAGGAGCAGGTATTGTTTGGAAATGTCTTATGGGGATATTTTTCTTTATGGTTTCTAGTACAAAACAGAGCGTGAGTGGATCCTCAGATTTCTTGGGGAAGGACTGCGTGACAAACATTGCTATGAGCTTTATGACTACCAGAGGATTTTCCAGGTCATTCTCTCCTTTTTCAACAGTCCTTTGTGTGATGAGGGCTCCCAGGTAAGAATTTTTTTAAAAAAATGCCCACCAAAAAACCCCAAACCCCAGAAGTTTGCATGACTTGGAGATCTCAAACAAGCACAAAGCAGAAAGGAGCAACTGACTCTTCCCTTGTGCTCTAGAAAATCTATTCCTTTTTGATTTTGTGTATGTGTGGAGGGGGAAATAATTGCTTATATAGAAAGCGGAGTCACATCCTTATCCACTGAAACTGGAACAGCTCCCTGCCATCATGGAGCCTCAGTTGTGTACCACAACCTTGCTCCTACATCCAGAGCCTTTGCTTTTTTGGGTCCCTGTATTCCCTAACCAGCATGTTTGTTACCTGTACAGTGCTGCAGTAGGAAGGAAGCTCACATTCCAGAAGCTCTCAGGTTTGTGAGCATCCACCCTGAGAAATCCAGTCTGTTAAAAGTACCTCAGATGTGGAAATCTTGGACAAAAATATAAAATTGTCCTGCTACTTTAAGACTTCTTGAAAGACTAGCACCTGTGGTATGAAGCTTTGAAAGGAAGACGTCTTTTCTTCCCCGGGGTTGCTGAGAACAATTGGTGTTGGTGATACATTTTACCTTGAAGCTGATCAGATACTAGTCCAATTACTAATTATGCCCTTCTAAAAGTTTTATAATTAGATCCTGACCATTTCTGAATTTGTGAAAGAACAAGTTACATTCTCTGTTTCAGAGTCGTATTCTGGAGATACTGCAAAGTGCTGCTCGTGTCACCAGAGCTGCCTATGAGCTCATACAGGATCACAGCCTCCTAACCTGGGTCCTGCACATCTTAGAGAAAAGGTAACTAGGGAAATACTAGAGAAATGGAAACAATTCTACTGTCCCCAGGAGCATAATTATGTGACTGAGTATGAAAACCAAGGTGACAGATGAAGACAGTCGGGGCTGGTGACGTTCAGCACCAAGGGCTGTACTGGCAGAACTTGCTGAACTCTGAAGTGTCCCTTGTGTTTCTGAAAACAGAAACAAGGTGCTTTCAGGTTGTGGAAGGGAGGGATGATGGGGGGGGCTTTGTGTTTTTGAGAACACTTCCTTGAAAAACTTAGCAAAACAGTGCCTTGTTTTAGTGTATGTAACTTTTAAATTTCAAATGCCCACAATTCACATCCTGTCATAGGACCTGCTGCGCAGTGACTGGCACAGTAATGGATTTGAGCTGTCTAGAACATTTCTCCTCCTGCTCCTTCCTCTTCCCCTTGCCTCTCCTTCACATACGTGGGCACACACACACAAAATCTCTTCTGCACAGAGTGCCCTGACAGGTTCATGCAAGGCTTAGCACCAAAAGTGCACAAGAATATGGTCCCCTGTAGGTGATGGACCAGTTCCTGGTCAGGCTCTGCCTTCCATATGGGTTTTCTTTTGTTTTTCAGGTTTCTGGAAAACAAGGTGATAAATAAAATTATTTCCTTACTCCATACTCTGTGGCTAACAAATTTAGGAGACAAGAGAGAAAGAAAGAATCAATCCCAGGAGAGCAGGAAATTTCTTCCTATTCAGCTTGTAAATGAATTTCTGTATGTTTTGATCACGTTAATCAAACACATTCGGTAAGTCCTTTGCTTTTGTTTTTAATCAGTTTGCATCTTGTCCTCTCTACCCTTTGAAATTTATTAAGGGCAGAAAAATTTCTTGATCTCTGGTAGTTCCATGCTTTTTTTCACCTTCTGTTTGGAAGTTGAGTAGTGAATTTGGATGAGATTTCTTTGACAGGAAGGTTTAGCTGTTTGATGACATGGGGAATAAAGTAACATTTGATGCACAGTTGCTGTGAAGTTCTGCATCCTTAATTCCTGACCATATGGACTGTAAGGGGAAAAAACCTTGTACTTATTTTATTAATTAGCACACAGAAAAATACATGGCACTTGTGTTTTCTGTTCATAGGACTAATCTAGATCTGGCCAAGCTGACTCAGTTCTTCAGCACCCTCAGTTCTGTGCTGGAATATCGTGCTGTGGTTGTTGAGGCCTTCAGGGAGATGAGGCGTTTCACGGTGAATGAGGGAGTCCTCTCCAACAGGGAGGTGCTGCTGCTGCTGCACAAGTGGAGCCTCATCGACAAAGACTTGCAGCTGCAGGAGGACCTGCAGGCCCTTGCTCAGAAATACCAAATCAAAGAATTGCTCAGTAAGTGCTAAAATATTTCGGAGGAGGAAGCCTTTGTTGAGGCTGTTACAAACCAACCGTATAAGTGAGGCAAACTTCCCAGGAAATAGTGTTAATAACTTTACTTGGATGATCTGATACGGCTTGGTGGAGGAGGAAGGGAAATGGAAAGCAATTTTTCAGGTCTTCCTTGCAGCGATTTCTAACTTTAACACAATTTGGAAGCTTTGGAGAAACACGGTTTTAAAAAGGGAAAGAGCTTTAAAATGAACTTAATTGCAAATCTGGTATCAGGCTTTGAGAAACTGTATTCTTAAATCTTAAAAAGAAAAAGCAGTGCCTGAAATAAATTTCAAGGCTTTGTGCTCAAAGGTTTGAATTGTTCTCAGTGTGGATGATGGGCGATCTGGAAGTGATACATGGGTAAAAAAATAAAGCAAGGGAAAATTAAATAGTTAATTATTCAGTGTTTGAAGGAAGGAAAAATATGTCTGGACTTGTGTGAATTTTCTTGTGATATCTGTGAATAAAATGTCCAAGGAACTTGGTAGTGAGAGGTGTTAAAACAACGCTGGTTTCCTGCAGCTACAACTGCTCTTGGTGCACATTAGAGCTTCTATAGGTTTGTTTAAATGTTCTGTATCAGTTTAATTATGAAAGTATCACATATTTAAGGGATACTGTAAAAGCTTCCGTTTTTCTGAAGTTTTTCACACCCTTTAAAACTCCTCAGAAAGACACAAAGAGAGTTGTTGTAGTGACATCTGTAACTTATTGTATGTGTGGGTTTAAAACACAAGGTGTTACTCCAAACCTCGAGAGCTTCTCTCACCTCCCAACTGGGTGATCCCGTTCAGAGCAGTGTTCCAACCTGGAGCCCCTGGGAGCTGCCCAGAGCCCATTTGAATGGCACAGGCTCCATGAAGCAGCAAATTGAGGCTGGTACTTACCCTTTTAGCTACTGAATCAACACAAGAAACCACCTTTCTCGCATAATTCTGTACCAGGAAAGTACATAGATACCTTTAGAGTATCTGATATTTGTTTTGGTGGTGGTTTTCTTCTTACAGAAAATATTAAAGACAAGAACAAGCCCCAAGCCTCTTCTCGTGCATATCGTCACATTCGGAAAAAGAACGGGGTTGAAGAAGATGACACTGCTGCAGACCTGGAAGTGTCTGAGCTGGAGAAATGCAGAGACCATCTGAATTCCATATTTGCCCACTGGGAGCCTGTTTTCCCAGCGTCACCTTCCAAACAGGGAGGGGAGCCCCTCAGGCCCAGTGACCTTGGGGATGACTCAGTCAGTCTCACCTGTGCATCCACTCTCATGGTCACGAAATGGCTGGTGAAGTCCATGGTGGAGTACAGCCTCAGTGAGCAGAACGTGTCACTGATGCTGCGCTGGCTCCAGGGTTGTGTTGTGCCACAGCCGGCGGCCATGCGGGAGATGCTCAGGGATGAGACACTGAGGAAGAACCTTTTCAAGTTCTACACCCAGGTCTGTGAGGCTCAGCTCTCCAAAGAGCTCCCTGTGCTCACCTCCATCATGCTCCAGCTCATGGATGCTCAGGGCCTGGCCAACAGCTTCCACGAGCTTGTGAAATCCTTGTGCCTCTCAACCATGACAGAAGAGGATGAGAACAAGAAAGGTAACTTGTCTCTTCCTTATCTCTCTTGTTACAAGGCAGTAATGGGAGGAAGTAGGGAGTTCCATGGGTTTTTTTAATTCAACAGACCATTTTGAAGTTTGCCCATGTCCACTGGAGCTCATAACCTTCCAAGGCAGAAGCTGTATGTGTGATGGAATGAGCTCAGGGTGGGCAACATAGAGAAGGGTCACACTTGTGGGGCTTTCTGACAGTACAACACTCACACTCCGACAAAGAAACTTCCCTTTCAAGGACTAAAATGGAGTTCAGTTCAAAAAACACCATTCCAAGGGGAAAAACAGTCTGCAACAAACCAAGTCCACGTGGCCATGGGTGCTGATCCATGTACTGGTCAGTGTTAGCAACTGACAGATTTCAAACTGTTTTATTTAAGGAAGCTGACAGGAAACTGGTTTGTTTCCTTCGTGTGAGGGGAGTCATTGGCTTTGCATGGGCAAGACCCCCCCAGATTTTCCATCTAGGGAAACAGGAAACTATTTTAAACCATAAGTCTGGAGGTAAATGGTTTGATATTACTATGTGGAATTAGTATCTGTTCTGATTTTTCTTAATTTGTCTTCCACAGCTGTTTGTGTATTCCTGACATCCGTTTACATCAAGGACATGTGGCTTGGAGCACGGGAACCAGATATGTTAATAACTCATGTCAGATTGATCTGCACTAGTGCAGATGGAGAAATAAACGGTGATGACTTGGAAACTCAGGAACAAGGAGAAGAAACTATTACGTCTCTTTGCAAAACACTTTACTTGGCAACATCAGGGCATTAATTCAGGGAACTGACTCTTAATCTTTAATGTTCTGTGCTCTGCCATCGTCGCTGTGAGCCGTGAAACCCTCCTGAGCTGTCCCCATACAGACCTAACTGGTTTGGTCATAAAAATCAGTGTTTTATTATTGTTTACTGAGCAAACTCAGAGGGGGAAAATTGTATTCATTGTCTCTCAGTGGGACATTAAAGTTCCAGTTTCCCTTTTCTTGAACAGTATGGGAACACGACATTTATGTAATTTTTATTAAGGCATTTTTAACTTTATGAAGAACCAAAAAGACTGTTTCCTACGCTCTGGACCTGTGTCCAGACACAGTTCCAGGCCCTGTGTCGTTGGAGTCCGTCCTCTCTCCAATATAAAATGGGGAAAAAAGGCTGCAGAACGTCCCACAATGTGGTGTAAGTGCAAAGAAGGAGGAGCTGGAGATTTAGCCACGATGATATACTATTTCTTGAAGAACCAAGTTTATTTCATACCAAAACCAGTGTGAATAAAAGACTGAACACTGGAATCATGGTGGTCTGTGATTCTTCTTGGTTTTAAATGAAATGGCTTTTGAAAGCATTTATATCGGAGCTGGTCTATTTTTACTATCCTTGTTTTTTCTTAAATTAAAAAAAGCCCTGACCATCATGGCTGCTGGAACTTGCAGCAAAGGTCCGTCTTCTCTCCACTTGGAACTGGTGGGAGATGGAACTAAAGCCCAAAGGACTTGCTGCTAATTGATAATTTGTGGGTTTTAGTGGGAATTCTCTGTGAAATCTGATAGATAGTTCTGGAATGGGGCCTGGAGGGCAGGTGAACACAACAGTCCAGATCTGCAAACACCCAGGACCTGAAGCTTTGAAATGTAAACCAGGATTTATTAAATTGTCTCACAACTACATGCTGTGCCCAGGTCCTTTGTACAAATTCTGTAGAGGGAAAAATCAGAACTGCACGTTCCTTGTGATGTGTATTGAATCTGTTGTGGTTTTTAAATAAAAAAAATGAGACCCTAGTAATGAGATTGCTTTTACATTTGAATATTCTTGTCCTAAAGAAGCTGTCAGCTCTGTATCAGGACTTGAGTTTAAAATAATATTTCTTAACAAAGCTGAAAGCCCCTTGGAGACTACATTTTGTTTCAGGGGGCTGACATCAGGAAATCTGTGTGAAGAAAAAAACCCTTTTTTTCCTTGATTACAAAAACCAAACAGGCACAGTGAAACCAAAGGAGTTCCAAAACAAAAGATGTCTTTCCCTCTCACCTAACTGTCAAAGAAAATATATATGACACAAAGGGAAGGGATTTTTTGGTTGTCTCGAGGGCCTGAGCACACCCCACAGTGGTTTATAGTTGGATATGTTGAGATAATTAAAGAAATGAGGTAAGAGCATTCCCCCAACCCAGGGATAAGGAGGGATCACAGTGTGAATGTGGCACTTGGGGACGTAGGTTAGTGGTGGCCTTGGCAGTGCTGGGGAACAGTTGGATTTGATCTTAGAGGGCTTTTCCAGCCTAAACAATTCCATGATTCTCTGATTCTAATGGAGGACTCTGGGGGCAGGGGAAATAAAGTGCTCCCTGTGGAAAGCAAAGCACTGGGAAGCTTTGAAATGGGTACATATGGAATGTCACGGGAGCAAATGCGTTGCTTCCCCCCCCTCCTCTGCCCCCACGTTGGGTGCTATAAGCCAGGGTTGTGTTTTGCATATTATTTATTATTTATTATTGTTTATATACTTCATACTGTATTTCCAGGTAATTTGAAAGTTAAAAAATAAAAAAGGTCTTTTTAGTGGTTATGTGCTCCAAGCCATGTTTCAATGCAACCCATGGAAGAACACCTGTTGTCATGAATGAGAGTATCCACATCTTCCAGAAATCCCTTTGAAATCCCCTTGTGGAGTGGAGGATCTTAAAAAACAGGGTGATACAAGTCTGTCCTGAGTCAGGGAGGAGGATACTGGAGCAGGCAGGCCATGCAGAACTGGTCAGGAGAGAGGTTCCAGCTGAGGGCATACAGGTGGGGCAGGAATGGTTGAAGCTGCTGCATCCTTAGGAGGAAAATGGGTCTGGATGGTCAGGTTTTCTTCAGAGTGTCTTTGATGACACTGTGTGACTGCAGTGGAGTTACTATTGCAAGTAATTCCTAATTTGCAGTGGGAGAGCTGGTGCCAGCAAGGGAGTGGATTCTTGTCTCCTGTGAGAACTCCCTCAGCTCTGGCAAAGGGTGAGGGTGCCCCATGAGGAGGGGGAGGCTGTTGTGGCCATCTGAGTTGGCTAATGGAAACACTTGGCTCTGATACCTCTGTCCATGCTGCACCATAAGTTTCTGCAGCCTTTCCTAGTTTCTCCACACTCAGTGTGGAAAACCACCCGGCAGCCTTCACACGTGGGTGGGTTTCTGAGCCCAGCACCACTCAGTCAGTTTGCTCACAAAGCAAACTGCAGCAGTGCCTTATCTCTGGGGCTGAACAAATCTGAAGATTTAAAAACCAAACCAGCAATACAAACATCTGCCTGGTGGATTTGGTCTGTCTCTTGTGTTCAAGGCTTTGATAATGCAGCCCAACCCACCCACTCTGGCATCATCCTGACCCACACTCCCACATGAGGCTGCTCTGGCAGTGCTTCCCTGGAGGAGTTTTTGCTGCCTACTTGGGGATGTGGAATTTCTATGCTTCTCCTCAAGTTTCAAATGAGTTTTGTGTTGTACTTAGCCCAGGAACTTGCTGTGCAGCCTTACCTCTCTTCCAGCCCTCGCTGCCTTCCTCAGCCTGACTGTGCAGACCAGCTTTGTGCTTCCCGGAGCTCCGAGGGCATCTCAGCCTCTCCAGTTCTGCCTGCGTTTGGTGGGGAGGAGAGCTGGGAAGAGCCAAGGCCACTGAAGGGAGAGGGAATGTGAGTGTCTCTTCTGACTCTGCTCCAGCTGAGCTGGACCCATCCCCTCCACGTCACCGAAACACTGCCGTGACCCTCAGTAGTTCTGTCAAACTATTCATCAGCCTCGTGCAGAAATGTAGTGTTGTTTTTGTGGTTTTGCCAGCATTTTCCTTTGATATAAAATACATATTCCCTTTTTCCAACACCTTGGTAACTGGCAGATACCATTTCAAGACTGTTCAACACTGACAGTTTCTTTACCATTGACCATTTCAAAAGGGAAGCAAAAAGCAATTGGTTGTTCGTAGCAAAACTGTATTTCCAGGTAGCAAGTAAAGTAACTGTTTATTCAGGAAGATAATTAGTGCAAACCACCACATGCCATTCACTTTTTAAGAGCTCTTCTACATAAACAGTATTTTAATAAATTTTAAGTAACGAAATATTTTTTTGCAAAAGTAAATAAAGGATATGTTCTATTCTTGGGGCGAGTGCTGAGCCATTTTACTCAAATATGGCCATTAGGACCTCCTCTTATGCATCCAGGGTTTTTCAGGTTTGTTCTTTGTTGAAAGACATTTTCCTTTTTTCCTGAATCCAGGTGATTAACAGGCAGTCACAGCACTGAGCTTTTCTCTGCAGCCATGGGAACGGCGCTGCTGGGTTGGTTTGACCTCTTCCAGTTTTACCTCAGGCTCAGATCCTTCCAGGAATGCCCATTTCATCCGAAAGGGAGATAGGTGTTTAAGAAGCAACCACATCTGAGTATGGGCTCCTGAGGTCATCACAGTGAGGCTGTTCCCCATTGGAACTGCTTTCTTCCATCTGGCTCCCTACAATCACTTGTCTGGAATGTGTGGACAGAAAAAAGTACAGCTATCAGGAATGTGTTTGGAAGAGAGACAGTCTCAGTTTCAACAGGAAGTACATCAAAGTTTTAAGAAATAAAGAAGATGCTGCTTCTAACACAGAAGACATTGAATCCAGCAGGAGAGAAGCTCTTGGACTTCAGCCCTCTTCATCCACCATGAGAACCATGTCCTTGCCTGGAAATGGAGTATGACCAACAGGAAAGGTATGAGGTGTCTCCCCTCTCTCCCTCAAGATGGGGCCTTCGGTCCAGCCCTTAATTCGGTCCTTTAGTGAGATTTTTAAAGAGGAAAGTAGAAACTTTGCTATGACTTTCTCTGTACCAAGGGTGAAGGGAACTGTCACTGCTGCTTCTGGGGAAGCAAAGAGGGATAAGAGCTTCCTGAGACTGTGAATGGGTGTCACTGGGGACAAGAACAAGAGGGATGTGAGATATTTGGGAAGGATTGCCTGATACTGGGGTTGGGGAAAAACAAGACAGCTCTAAGGGCTGGTGGAGAACTGACCAAGGAAATGGGATAGACCTAGAAAAGAACAGATAGGACTCAAGTAGCAGGAAATGTACAAACAATAACAACTCAAAGATGTGTGGTTCTGCCAGAAAAAGAAGTTAGTGGTGGGGTGGAAGGGGTGATACGAGAACAGCAGAGTGCACCTGCCTCCTCTCCTCCCTGAGCCCTCTTGCCAGCAGTTTCCCAAACTTCACCCTTAAAAAGTAAGTAGCAGATGAGTCCTGGCCTAGAAGCAGTAAGTTCTAGTTAACAGGGCTGAAGACAAGATCTCAACTACTACTGTGTCCTTAGGCATTCAAAGGTGGTGAGGAAAATTACACTGGGAAGAAAAATGTAACCCAAAAGTTGACAATGGAAAATTTTTGAAAAGCCTTATTAATGTCCTGGAGCCACCCTGGCTTCAGAAGGGAGAAAGAAGACATTCTGGAGTAAAAGCAAGTGTTTAATTGGCTACATAAAGCTAATAACCAAAATCTAAAAAGCAAGATAAAGCAAATGGGAGAAAGAAGTGAAATATAAACTTTATAACCTCAAATTTATATTACTTGCAAATGAAAGCTTAAAATATCTGTGCCTGACAAGACTAGCTCAACAGAGATTTTGCTTAATGGTAATTCAAAAAACAGAAACAAAACCCCAAAGTCTCAGCAACAGGCCCAGCACAGGTTTGGGAGTTTCTTTGCTATGCTACCAGTGTATTCTATTCATTTCTCTTCTCTCTCTTTGACAGAAGCAAGACAAAAAAACTCTTACCAAAACAGGATGTTTCCAGTCCATTAAGTAGCTAAATACCATCAGTTAGCTATCCATGTTTTAAAATCAGCTGGAAAACTTGCATCTCAGAGACCCAGGGACTGTCTGAGGAGAACTCTGGCAGGGTCTGTTAATCATTAGCCATCCCTGGGACAGCAGGGAGGTTGGAGGAGGCTGGAAGAGTTCCAGAGTCCCAGTACTCAGAGTACTCTAAGGCAGTGCTGTGACTGACCTCAGCCAAGACAAAATCACAGAATTAAATCTGAGATAAGATACAACCGAAATAGTGATTCGAAGGGCAGTGCAGATCTAGAGAAAGCCAAGTACAGTGAAAAATGTCTGATGTCATTTTTTGAGGGAAGCATGATTTGAAAGATAAAGGCAGCTTCATATCCGTGATTACTGTGAGGGTGATGAGGCACCACATCTAAACACTGAGTGGAGTTTCTTACTGCAGGAGATCTGTGTGGAGCCAGCAGAGCTCATGCTGCCAGGGAGCCCAGAGGCCCTGGAGTGAACCTCTCTGAGAGCAAGAGGCTGGGACAAGGGATGAGATAGAGAGATCTTCCAACTCTCTGGGCACCCAACTCGGGGGTTTTTTTCCAACATTACACTGTCTGGACAGCCAGAAAATGTGGGTTGTGCGTGGCTGCCAGGAATGTATAGCCTCTAATGAAATGCATGGGAGACCAGTGTTCCTCTGGAGAGGTCCAGGAAGGAACTTGCCCTGTCCCCCTTCCACTGCGTGAAGGTCCAACCTTAGCCAGGAACTGTCTCCAGCCACTAACCCTCACTTTTCTGCATCATTTTGGATGGTAAGAAACACCACTGAAGCAAGTGTTAGTACTGGCTCTGGATCCCAGCAGTGTGATCCTCAGTTGCCTTGGCACGCTAATGGGTTTGAAATCATTGGTCCCATGCCCCAGACCTTTTGTCTTATTTCTGTGAGATAATGTAATGGTGACAAAGGGGACTGGGACCTGGATTCCACAACCTCCTCCCCTCTTGCGTCTCAAACTCACCCATCAGACTTAGCACCAAATTCTTTGGTGTTGCAGAGCAATGTGTGGTGCAATCAGATCACGGAGTCAGATCCAGGACCTCTCAGTGTCTCTAACCAAGGATTAAGCTGTGGCATAAGTAGATATAGGCCTTTTGGAAGACACTTTGACACTGGCTTGTTTTCTGTGTGGAGATGCAGGTTAAAAAAAGCAGACTCTGCTGTGGAGGGTGGTGTGCCCTTGCCAAAAGAGGAGACCCTGGTGTTGCATAGCAGTGGTAGAGATGCAAAAATTGCATCCAAAGAGGCGAGACCAGCAGGATGAGGGAAGGGATTCTCCCTTTCTGCTCCACTCAGGTGAGACCCCAGCTCCAGCTGTGGGGACCACAACACAAAAAAGACATGGAGTTGCTGGAGACAGCCCAGAGGAGGCCATGGAGATGCTCTGAGGGCTGGAGCAGCTCTGCTCAGGAGACAGGCTGGGAGAGCTGGGGGTTTCAGCCTGGAGAAGAGAAGGCTCCAGGGAGACCTCATAGCCCTTTCCAGTGCCTAAAGGGGCTCCAAGAGAGCTGGAGAGGGACTTTGGACAAGGGTCTAGAGGGACAGAACAAGGGGTAATGGCTTCTCATTGCCAGAGGGCAGGGTTAGATGGGATATTGGTAAGAAATTCCTCCCTGTGAGGGTGGTGAGGCCCTGGCATAGGTTACCCAGAGAAACTGTGGCTGCCCTACCCCTGGAAGTGTTCCGGGCCAGGTTGGATGGGGCTTGGAGCAACCTGGGCTAATGGGGGGTATCCCTGTCCATGGCAGGGGGAGGTGGGACTAGATAATCTTTAAGTCCCTTTCCACCAAACCCATGCTATGTTTCTGTGATCCTATGAAAACACAACCTTCAGGGACACCCCAGGGATCTAGCTGACCTGTGGTGGGGGTTTGCTCAACATTCCACTGAAGCACAAGGTGCGCTCGTAGGACCCTCCTGGCTCCTCTGACCTGGCCCTGAGCAAGCTGGGAGAGCACACAGTACCCTGCATGTCCCTGGGAGTGACAGAGAGATGGATGAGAACAGAAATGGTGAAGGTAAAAGTTCTCCAGCCTTGACCAGTGACGTGTGTGTGTGTGTTTGTTGGGTGAATGTATCAGAATTATCACAGGGAAAGAGACAGGAGGTTTCCATACAGATATCGTGTGACTGTCGTGCCAAGGGTAAGGGGTGGATGACATAACAAAGAGGATGACAGGGGAGGCTGGTGGAAGTTTACAGGAATGATTTCTTCCAGACACCCCGTTCGGTTTCGTTGCTGGAACTGGGAGAAGGGTAACTGAAGTGGGGCTTAAAAACCAAATGGAACTCAATCAAAAAGGGCAAGTTTTGTGTGTGTGTGTTGAATACTCCCTTCAGTCCTAGAATTGTTTTCTTACAGTATATTTCAAGTTTAGAAAAACGAAAAGTCTAAGCAAATCTCATCCAATAGTGCCTTTCATTAATGATTCCTGGGCACTCCACGAAACATTCCTAGACTTGCCTTGTTCACAATAGCTCTTTTGAAGGCCAAAATTGAACATATCAAGGATAAATATGGATATTTTTAAGTGAAGTATTTTACTCAGTAACATGATGAAAAAGTGAAAAAAAATCTTAAAAATCAATACTTTGTTTAAGTCTCCCAAACACACTGAGATTTTCATGTATACAGACTTCTCCTGCCAGTTTTTTAGGAATAGTAAATTATTGGGAACATACCTCCGCTATCCTGCAATTTTATTTCCATTTCCATGTTTCTTGTGTTGTTAGCCTGCCTCCTGCTTTGTGGTTTAGTTGGGTAAGCTGCCTTTTTTAATGTTGTTGCTCCTTGAGAAACCAGTGGATTTGAGCTGTGTTATGTCACCTGCAAACTTCATCAGTTCTTTTTATGCAGGTGATTTATGCAAACAGAGAATGGCTGTGGGTCGAAAGACACTCCAATCAAATAACTACGTAAAGAGTGCCATCTCTGTGCAATTATAAATGTTGTATGTAACTGCTGGATCATTGAAGGGAGTGAATGTCTCAGGTTATTTTATCACACTGATCTGCACTTACTTTATGTCTGGTTGTACTTACTTCACTGGAGTTGATCCGGAGCGGGACATACACAGCAAAATAAGAAAAAGTAACGTCACGAAGGCAGCAAGTCCGACCCAGAAGGCGATGACAATGGAGTCTGTGGACACAACACAGTAATCCTGTCACCAGTGCCACAGCAAATATAAAACACAGCAATATAATTTATGGTCTCTAATAAAGGTTCTCAGTTGAACCACTTGATTGGTTCAATTTCTCCTTTTAGGGAGAGGCATCTGAGTGCCAATTTGTTAAAGGTTGTGAGAGCCTCCTAAGAGTTTATTGTAACAGGGCAAGGCCAGGGCTGAGGGATGGGTTGGGAAAAAGCATCCAGTCAGTATGCTGGTGACTAGAGCTGTGCAGATATTTGGATATGGTTCCTTTTACATAGTCACAGTGCAGGATGCAGTGTGGAGCTGAAGCCTGGGCTGTTACTGCCAAATCCTGATTTTAGGGGAAAAAGTACAACGCAGGATCTTTAAGATGATGCCCTAAGGGAGGGAATCACAGCCTTGAAAGCATTTTATACCAAGAGAAATACCAAGGAAAGCTTGTTCAAAAGTGTCTGTGACCCTCACAGCACATCAGTGCAGTGGAAGTGGATGTGACCCTTGCCCTGTTCAGCTGCAGTGCTTCTGTAATCATCATAGAACAGTGCAAAAGGCTGCCTGCTTTATCAGGACCAAGTGGTTTCTTTAAGGAACAAGCAAGAGGATTCCCAGTGCCAAAGTATGTGTTCCAAAGTGGGAAACGGGAGTATGAGGTGGCTGGGGGAGCAAAGGAAGCTGCTTTTTAATGAAGGCTACAGTGCTGTGTAAAGTACTGCCTGAGCCATGGGCTTGCTGAGAGATGGGAATGATCCACTCCTGCCCCAGGAGCACAATTGGTCACTGTTTCAAAAATGCTCCTTCCTGGGATCAGGGTGGTGGTGGCCAGTGCCCAAGTTAAGCCTCGGGAAGGTTGGGTGCTCTGCCCTGAAGTCACAGCTGGCGACTCACTTCCACCGGGGTGAAAAGGAAGGGTCACTGACTCCAGAGACAAATATTGACCAAGACAAAATAAATCTTTCCTCTGAAAGGACAGAAAACACTGTGTTCTTTGAAACAGGTCCAGTATGTTTGATTGGATGTTTCTTCTGTGAAGAAGTTCATCAGAGCTACAAAGAGATTAAGGGAGTTAGCCCAGCCCCTTTTAAACCTCAAACTGGGGCTGGCCCAGCTGTACCCTTATCAGAAAGCTGAGTTTTGGCTGGGCTACTGAGAAATATCAATGTGGAGGGGCAGCTTATTTATTCTTCCTCTGTTAAAGAAAGTTTTAATGACCTCTAATTCAGAGAACGTTAAATTAGCATGTGAAGGCCAATATTCTGACATGCTCTTCACCAACTTATGGAAAAAAGCAATGGGGTGATAGTGGCCAACCACGGCTCCTAAAGGGAGAATTAGGGGACTTCTGGTAAAAAAAAAAATCTAAAAAGCAAGGTCATGACCCCAGGATATATTGAAAAGCCCAAAGTTTTGAAGTGTTCAAAGCCACTGGGACAGAAATGAAGAGTTTGGATTTACAGAATTCTGTATCAGAACTATTTTGGTTCCTTCTTTTAAGAGCAGATTTAATATGTTTCATGGAACTCACTGAAGTTAAATAAATTTACTCTAGGTCCCAGCGGGAGTTTGAACCAAAACTTCCTGGTTTTAAGTTCTGTAATTAGGATATTTTCTTAAAAAAAGTGGAATAATATATTTTAACAATCAATAAAAAGCTTTCCTATTGCTAAATTTTACCATTACCTTTTTGTGTGTGTGTGTGCATGTTTTTAAATAGCTTATTAGCTCACGGGCCAATTAAGCTTTTTAATTATTTTTATACAAAATAGAGAGAGCTGCACAACATTATTAATAGAAAACAAGACCATGATTTTACAGCTGGATTTAGATGCATTTTCATGGAACAAACAATCTCACAAAGCTTCAGAGACCAGCCACATAATGGAGGAAAGGAAGTGCAGAGATTCAGATCTCTGTTTTACATTGAATAAAAACAACCAACAGGCAAAACTGAATCAGGGAGCTCCAACCCCATCCCAGGGGTTACGGGAACTGCACGATTCACTTGGGCTGCCCCAGCAACGCTCCTGAACAAACACTCAGGTCCCATTGCAGCCACTCAGCAGAGACCCTCTGGAACATCAATATTTATGGGGTTACTCTGATCCTGGAGGTAGCCTACATTTTTACAAACTTGGAATGCTTGTTGCTCTCTGAGCAGAAATGACCACATTTCATCCTCAGTGCAAAAGGCAAGGACTTGCTGAACTTAATCCACCTGCACATCCCAAGAACATGAAGGCAATAATTCCAGCTGTGGCTTCTGGAGATATAAGAATGTAAATATTATGCAAACACAGGAAAACCTACAAAGTACATTCATTGCTTGACTGATGCTTTTACTCAAGTTAAAAACTAACCAGCTGTGGGGTTGTTTCCCTTGGTGTTTTCTTTTTAACTGGTAACCCACTGTTCTCACAGTGGTATTTGGAGAAGGAAGAATAATAGTACCAAGAGGATGCAGTCTCCATTCCTCCTGGACTGCTGACATGGCAAAATGTCAGTTTTCACCTCCTTAGAATATAAAAACACCTGAAAGGTGGCAGACTTCTCAGCTTCTTTATGGAGAGAAATAAGTGGAAAAAAAACAAACAGTAAGAGATTGATTTGCCCTGCTTTTAATGGAAATAAGGATGATAAGATCACTCACAGGCACATGGGGTAATTTCTTCCACAAAACTCTCAAGAAATTTAAATTAAACAGAGGTGAGCATTTTGTCTCAGAAGTAGAGTTTCTATGAATTTCAAGAAAACAGGCAGCTGAGTAGAGAGAAATACCCAGGGAGGAAAGTACTGTAACACAAACACCACCCTCATTATATACCAGGCAACCCAAATGGTAGAAAAATGTTATTAAGGAGAAGAAAAAAGTGGAAAGCTTAGATTCCTGATTTTTGGTGCAGTCTGGGTTTTCCCTGGTGGAATTTGGGGGTAATTATCTGCCCTAACTTTAAAATTAAGAGAATTAGAGAAGCTACTCATAGCCTGCCTGGTCCCAGCAGAACCAAACGTTGCTCTAAAGCATTACAGAGCAAGATTTTCTGTGTGGAAGGATGTGGATATTTACAACACCTTCTGTAAGGTGTGGTGCTCTAAGTTTGGAGGCAATAAACCCTCAGCCAGAAAAGCTCTCCTAGAGGCAGTGCAGGGTAAGTTTCTGCTCCCTTTTCCTATTCTTGCTCTCCAAGCAAACAAAGGACAAGCAGCTCCTAACGTGGGCCAGTTCAGTCTTTGCTGACAGAAAGGCAGTTTCTTGCGCTAATTACAGAGACATGACAGTATTCTGAAAGACCATCACATTTTCCTTACAGACCAGATCACTGTAATAACCCTGGGGAAAGAAATTTTAGTCTCTGAAACCACATCTGAACAGTTGCAGCTGTCTTCAGTAAACTAAACAGCAATGGATAAACCCCTTAACTTTGTCACTTAACTGAGGACACAGCCACAGGCAGAGCCTTGGCAGAAATGGAGGGAAAGCAAGTGCCTGGAGTGGAAGAGAGTCCCGCTCTCCCTTGACTGCTGTCAATCCATCCACTACACTCAGTCCATCCCTCAGAACAAAGCCTGTCATTCCATCTCAGCAAAACTGAACTAACGGAGTTACATTAGGACAAAAAAAAATTACGTGCCACTTTAAATAACCATAAAACGACGTTGCGATTTCATTGTGCAAAATTGTGAGCTATAGCAAGGCGAAGGAGGTGAATACTACTTCATATCATATCCTTTGAAAATAAACTGCAAAACACAGCAGAATCAGCTTCCACAGCAGGATAGCATTTTCCCAATAATGTATATTATTACTTTATTCATTCAGCAGCCCTAAATCAAAGGAGGAAAGATAAAAGAACAGCTTTTGTTCCTGGCTAGTGGAAACATCCATTTCTTTTACTAAGGCTCTCAGTGTTTGTGAGTTGCAATGTAAACCTGAGGTTGCAAGACAAAACCACAAAAGTTTTATGAATATCTCTGCTCACTCAGTCAACTTTGTTGACAGTAGAGTACAGGTAGCTAACATCCCAAATTACAGATTTGCAAGTCATCAGATTTCCCTTGAGCAAACAGCTTCAAAAAATCTGTCCTTCCAAACAAGA